ACTTTTAAAAAAAGTACAATCACATGCTTTACAAATTACTAGTTTGATTGAATGATACCCGAACAGTTAAGATAGATAATATATGACGTTAACTCTAAAATCAAATGTGCCATAAAGTTTGGTATTCTTAAAAAAATAGGTAGTAAAGGAAGATAAATGTATGCAACCTATACATTTATCTTCCTTTATGATGTTTTCAGCTTAAAACAAATAAAACACAATAGAACAGAAAGATTTTTATAAAAATGTCATTTCTGTCATCTTTTTTTTATATTTTAATAGAAAGAAAGAATTTTCATAACAAATAGATTTTGAATAAACGATTAAAATGTAAATAAAACATCGATTTCTGTATATGTGTGAGAGTTGTTGAAATGTTTAGCTTAGTTTAGGAAGTTTGTTTTTTTATTATTTAGAAAACTATCATTTAACAAAAATCATACATTGATCAATGTGATTTTGAATACAAAGGAGAAAAACAAAGGAGTTAAAGCTATTGATGATTTATAGTCACAAAAATAATGATTTAATGTTTTTTTTATTTGAAAGGAGGGGGGAATATTGTAACTATGTTGTGTTCAATATTTATCATGATATAGTATTTACTTGGAGTTCACTACATTGCTTATAATTATTTGATATTATTGTGGTATTCAATTGAATTAATTTTAAAGAAAATACTCAAATTTGTACAAAATAATAAAGATTTTGACTTAGTGACAAGAAAACAATTACCAATTTATACTTTGGCGGCCTGCTATAATATCTGGACTACCTGTTTCTGACATCAACATATCTGAACAAGTTACCTATCTTTTGTTTGTTTTAACACATCATTATGGCTGTTAATCGTATAAGCTATTTAGGTGCGTTTATGAAAAGTTTGCAGTCTTTCGCCGTACAACTTACAAAAAAGTACAATCGAAGACATTGTGTTGGATACCGAAATTCATTGGAAATAATGATCGTTCTTCAGATGTCGATTCCTGAACTGTTAATATCTAACTAGATTTGCTTAGCATAGAGTATTTATACTTAATTACATCTGTTACTCCTCGTGGAGGAGAATAGATCGCCCACCAACATTCTGCATTCAACCCTGTCATGAGCAATCATTTCCAGTTCTTCCCAGTTGTTATTCATCCTTTTTATATGTGCTTTTATTTACCGATGTAATGTGTTCTGTGACCTTCCTCTTTGCCGCTTTCCTAACACAGTATTGATGTGTCATGATCGTACATTATTGCATGGACGAAACTTTCATATTAAATATCTACCACATCTTATCAGTTCATCAGTCAATTGTTATTAAAGTGATAAATTATTTGGTTTATTATTTACTCAAATGAATAGACAAATTAGAAAATAATTGTTCTACTAAGTTTATCTGTTACTTGGTCTATTAAAAAAAGACCCATTGTACATTTTTAATAATGAAGCTGAAAACAGACAAATAATACTAATTCAGGAACATTCCTTATTGATAAAAACTAGTTCTCCATTTATATATTTATTTATTCAATACAATAACAAAAATTAAGTTATTTCTATTTAAAATATGCGTCTAAAAAATTTGCCTAATTGAATCATTGTAAATTAAATTAATCTTAATGAATAGATACTTAATTGAAACAAATTTAATGACAAAATACATTCCAATCTTTTGTGTAATTTTATTCTATCACTGTAGTTGACTAAACATAGTACAAACAATGATAAAATACAGCTATTTTTTTCTTAACAATAAATGAATGTCAGGAATCTATAGTATCATTTAACATTTATAGAAGTCATTGTATGAATATGAAATATACAAAGAGATTAAGTTTACTTGATGTTGTTTTACTCGTACCTTCCCATTGTTGTTCAGGACTTCAATTGATCAGTCTCTTATTGGCATATATGCATCCTGTGCGTATTGCCTTAAATCACGAGCATTATAAGCAGAGATGGATAGTGGCTAGCAGTGAAATTCAGCTGAATGTACCTGCACCCCAGAGTTTATGTTCAATCCCGAACACGAACCCACTACCGTGACTTAAGGCTATATCGAGGCAATGCGCACGGGTTACACATATACCAATAAGAGACTGATCAGTTGCAGTCCTAAATAACAATGGAAAGGTACAAGTAAAACAACACCAAGTGAATTTAAACTTCACCCCATTGCACAAGCAGGTGGCTATCAGGACTCAGTAGCTAAGTGGATGACGCGATGGAGTTTGAAGCGAACAGTACTAGGTTCGAGTCCCACAGTGAACGTGAACTCTGGGATGCAGGTACATTCAGCTGACGAGTCCCAAATAGGAGGAGACTGGTGTCCTGGATTCCACTGCCAGCCACTATCCATGTTTTCATACAAAGAGATTGTCTATAAGTTTTTATGAGACACAAAAATAGTTCTATAAAAACTTCTGTCCGGATTTGGATGAAAAGTTTCGTAACAGTTGGTTCCTGTGTAGGTATAAATGTCATAAAAATTGTACATATACAAATCTCAATAATTGAAAATTATAACTTCATAGTATGATTCTACAGTTTGGTCTAAAATTCTTAAAAGAAATTATCGAAAACAATTGAGCACATATTTTGATTATATCCCTGGGGAAATTCACACGAGATTGGCAAGTGAAACGTTAAACTTACCTCACTTCTGTTTTCGAGAGTTTTACTAATATAATTTCCTTTTTTTAAGTCAGTTTGATTACATAATGATTAATGTTTAATATATTAATTTGTTAATTGAACATGACAATTTAAAGTCTTCTGAATATGTCTTATTTATTTATTTGTTTGAGACAAGAGTACTTAACTCTTACGAAACTTAACAAAACAAAAACAGATTATTTCAAGCGTTAATTTAACCTGTGCTAATTAATGTTTTTTAAGATACATATATATATCTTGATTGTAAACTAAAAATTAATAAGACTTGAAATGTAGTCGTAAACCTTTTCTCTTCACAATCTCATTCAACTCAGTTCTAATCAACTTTAATAAAATAAGGAAATATTATGAGTGAAAATAAACACACAAACTACTAAACATTCAGTCAAAGTTATTATTATTAATTTAAATGATTTCAAACAAAAAGACCCATTTTAATAGTTGAGATCATGAGTCATTTGACACTAGACTACCATGGAAAATTTGAAGGCACTGGACGACCGTTCCGTCCTTAGCAGTGCTCATCCACGATCCCGCTTCTCACGATTCGAACCCAGGACTTATCGGTCTTGCGCGCGAATGCTAAACCTCTAGACCCCTAAGCCGACATCCAACGGTGTTAACGACTAACTCTAACTAATCCACGAAATTGAACGACACATCTAACATTATAAAATAAACATATTTTATACTTGTGGTTAAACTAACTCATGGTAATCGGTCGGTGTCTTTTTTTAGTCGAAAATCAAAAAAAGGTTTTACGTTTAAGTTTTATTGGACTCGCTAGTTGCTTAACAGTTTGTGTTAAATATACACTTTATGAATCGAATAAGAAATTGTGAATAAAAAAAATCATTTTATATTAATAATTTGAATTACCGGATCAAGGGATTTAATTATCACTCAAGTATAAATACTAGTTAAAGACCTACATTAAACTAACTATTGAGCTAATTTTGTAAAGAAAAAGGAATTTAGATCTCTTTTAGTATTTATCTGACTAGATGGTTATCAAGCCAAATGTAAAGCTAACTCATTATTTGTTCATGAGTATTTGTATGTATGTATATACACGCGCATAAAAAATCCAATTTCTTCAGCATTTCGATTCCTATCAATAATCGTTTCATCTAAAACTATCAACCTGAAGTTGTTTTTTTTTAAAGTTTCGTTCATATCCTGTTTATCATAATTCAACTATTACACTCTTGATCGAATTCATTCGTACTTGATATCAATTAGTTACTTTCTGATTTGTATAAAGATATCAACTCGAAATAGAACTTATCAATAAACAAACTATATTCCATTTTTATTACTTACAGTATTTTGATAATCTTCAACCAATGAATAGTGAATAAATGTAGTTTCTTTTTTATAAGGAAATAAAATTACTGTTCATGATAATACTGGAACATATTAGTTGGTATTGCTAGAGAGGTTTTTCAAGATTTTCGAATTGCATTTCCCGTATTAAAAAGAGAAACTTATTAAAAAAAAATTTTTACATTTAAAATTATATCAAGTCCTGTATATTAATAGTTTTTTAATATTGTGGTAACAACTACTAGAAATAGAAACCTAAGATGTGATTCAGTTCTGGTATAATGATGAGTTTTCAGTTTGAGATTTTGAATTTTTTTAATTTCATTGAAATCATCAGCTGATCAGTGTTAGATCACCATTGAAAACCTGGAAGTACTGGACAACCGTTTCGTCCTAGTATGGAACTCCTCACCTGTGCTCACTCACAATCTCACACACAGGATTCGGATCTAGCACCTTTGGTTTCACACAAGAACAGTTAATCTCCATACTATTGGTCCGGGACCTAAAAGTGCTAATGTCTAACTACAACCAATCCATGATGTTACGCAACCAGCTCTCAATGTCATCGATATGTAATTTCCTCACACCCGAGATGGTTGAACTTCACTGGTCATAGCTTTTTACCAGAACTTTAAAAATTCTCTCTCAAATCTAGTCCTTAATGAGCATATTATAATTTTCTGTTTGGAGTTGTAATGTGTAATGTAATATTTCTATTCGTTGGTTATTACAAAAATGCGGTATAATATCTGTCATGAAATAAACTACTAAGTCACAATAGAACATAAATAATAATTAAATACATATCATTTAGAAATTGGTATGTACGAATAAATAGGTTTACATTATTCTATTACTTTTTTGAATGAATAAATGTCATGTAATTAGTCATTAGTGTTGTCAATCCAACAAATGGACATCGCAAAAAAATTATTCAATAAACATCCATCTGTTCTTATTTTAATTTTTAAAGATAAGAATATTTTATTATTTAATTATTATAGATACTTTTGTGAAATATGTTTGGATCGTACATTATATGCGCGTACCACTAGTAAACTGTCAGATGGAACTGTATTCTGGGGGGAACAATTTGATTTAAAGTAAATAACTGAAGATTTTTTTTGTAAATTTTTTCCAAATCTTTTCGCTATAAATATTATTTTAATCAAATTAAAATAATCACATTTTACACTTCAGTTTGTTTTCCATTGACATTGTATTTCAATGAAACAACATTATTTTTCTATGATTCTTTATGTTCTTGAGTACTTAATTACACCTATTAATCTTAATGGAGCATAGGCCGCCGACCAGCATTCTCTAACCCACTCAGTCGTGAGCCTACTTTTATAGTTCTATTCAATTGTTGTTTATTCTTCTCATGTCTATCTCCATATCTCGGTGTAATATGTTCTTTGGTCTTGAGGATTCCAGCTGAAAGCTCGCCTTGTGACTCAGTTGGGTGCTTTCCTCAATAAGTGTCCTATCCTTTTCCAGATCTTCTTCCTGATTTCCTCCTCCGCCAGGAGCTCCTCTGGGGCTACAGCCGGTCCCAAGCCCGGATAATGAGGGAGGGTTGAGCATGGGGTTAGCTACCCCATCCCGTAGAAAACTAACTCGCTAAAAAATGCTAACCATTCTTTATGTTCACATATATCGTAATTATAAAATAAATATCCCTTAATTTATATATACTCATAAATAGGACATATGAAGAGTTTAAAGTGATAACTGAAATTTATACTAAAGATCTGGTTAAGATGGTTTTTTCTCAAAATACATTTACAATAGTACTTGTCAGTGTTAACATTATTCTACTCTTTGATCCATGCAAAATCCAATGTGATTTAGTTACTTTTCTGTGGTAGACTGTTGTAAAATGATTTGATGATTTTAACAGTTTATAATCTTTAGGGATATCACAAAACATTCTATATATTTAAAAAACTAATGCTAAGTTGACGAATACTTCTGGTAAATATATTAAAAGAACATATCTTATTCTGTTTTTATGTGCATAGGCATGACTTATGTATTTGAAGAAATATTAACTTATATTCCTAAATATATGCAATAACAAGAAATTTCCAGACGGTTTCTCGTGAAGTTTAAGTTGTATTTACTGAATCTACTTCTTTTCGTAAAAATCCAAAATGTTATACTGCTATTTGAATATGCATCCATATTGATGTAAACATTAAACATGAGCGAACTAAATTGTTAATATCTCAACCTTCATAACAGTTTTTCTAGACTATGATACCTCATAACTTGTGGACTTGTGCCCTATTAATATAATAAGTAATGATACCACCAATTAGAGAACAGTGACTTATCGACCTTACCAATGTCGCATAAACTCGTGCGAGCGGTCTAGAGTCCTTATCGGTCCTGCTTCCGGCCTAGCCCTGCCCGTTAAGTCCAGAACATCGATCCCGGTCTCCGCTATATGCATCATGTATTTCAAACATACTGGGTTTATATACCAACCAAACAGATCACATCGTACCATAAAATAGAAAAGAACATTTGTGCAAGATCTAGCCAACAGTGTCTGTGAATGTGGGAGACCGTAATTAGTAGACAGGGCAGAACTCAGGAACGGTAAATCGTATAATAATAGTGTATGGGTCAAAATAAAGGTTACAATAAGAGGAACATCAATGTGTATAGTCTAGCTACTTAATAATTATACAAAAAAATATATGTCTTGTATTGGTCCATAAATAGTTTCCAAAAGTTACTATTCATAATTCTTGCCAGGATATAACAGTAATCAAAATGTTTACCAAGTGCAAAAATGTGCATTATTCTGATATCCAGTTTTCACTACAAATATCACTTAATCAAAAGTCAGAAGAATCTCTTTTCAGTCAATAGTTTAACCATTTTCGCCTAGTAGCAAGTTTTACCTAGACAACTTGAGAACAGTAGAACACTGAGTGAAATTTAATTTATGTCAGTATCTTATTTTATTTGTTTTTAAATTCAGTTTCTTAACAATAGAAATGTACGATGTACAGTTTTACCTAATTTTTATTTTCATTTACACTATAACATCGAATTATCCAGGCATTTTAATAAGTGTTTATTTCTAGATGTAATTTAAGATATTTGAACTATTATGATAGAGTTTCAGCTTATCACAAGTAATGAATATTTATGTTAGTAAAGAAGAGAATTTAATTATTTATTTAAACGCATAAACATTGGTCTAAGGAGGCACCAAATAGATATGCGCCACATAAATCATTCGATTTGTTTGAACTCTGGGATACTGCCCGAGTGCCCAAACCGAAGCAGGTGGTTATCTTAGGGGTCCACACCCCGAGACTTCAACCTGATATCTAATCCACAAGGCAGTGGAGCAACGTTAGAAGATGCAGTCCCATGGCAGCCGGTGACCAACGATTAGTTCATACGTCATTTGTTCCTTCAGGATACTGAAGCCCATGTGCACCATTAGTTTGGAATTGGGAATTCCAACTCTCCTAGGTGGACTCTCCGTGTGCAACAACCCGGTTAAAATACTGGACATTCACTTTTCGTCCTTTCAATTTCGTAAACAACACCCCCGCCAAAAGAAGGTAGTGAGTAAGACTACCCTGGCAGTGGTTGTATGCACGTGGACATGTGAGAGCATTTCGAGAAAAGCTGATTCTCCCCACTCTCGGACGTAGCAGGGCACTTGAGAGCAGAATTGTATAACATTTACTACCGAATATACCAAATAAATACACATCAGTAACATGGACATAATTTAACTGATTCAAGTTGATAATGAATTTCATTCGGTCTTATTTTCTCGAATAGTAACAAATTCGACAACAAATGGATATCAAACTTTAACATTAAAGCAACTAAATCCAATTAGCAAATTTATAAATACCACTTTTCATCATACATCAGATTCTCTAAGACAAAACTTTTATCATACGTCTAACTCATTAATATGGTAGCACTTAATAAATATTAATTATTCATTTACAATAGGAATAAGTATGAACGTGAAAATTTTGTTTTTTATATTGGTAGATGTTCTAGGAATTTATATATTCAAGCTTGGAATCACCTCCTTTAGTGTGGTTAAGCAAAGGTGAAGTTAAAACAGTTAACAGCTCCATTTTAAACCATTTAATATTGTTTCAGTGAAAGTAGATTACTATATTCATTGTTCTTATATCCACTTTATAAAGATATATCTATACAAAAGGTTTCATATTTGACAGTTAAAAATGAAAATTCTTATGCTAAAACTATATTGATTATACAAAAATAATCAGAATATTCTTCTATTTAAATAGGCTAAGAAAGAGGTCTACTTGACAATTATTTTTAATAATTCAATAGAGATAGATGCTATTCAAAATCAATCCTTTGTTTTTAATTAATAGGTAAATCTGTATTCAATTTGTCTTTGTATGATTATCATTTCATTTTCATTTTCAACGTATTCAATTTATTTAAAGTAAGATAATTTATTATTATTATTCCCTACTTTTCCTTTTATTATTACAATGACAGTAATTTGCCTATAATATCCATTATGACAATAAATTTATTCAGGCAAGCAACTTCTGTAAAAGACAAACGGCAAAAAAATAAAAATCAGAATCAATTTATCGGTATGTGATACGTAACTATTTCATATATATTTTTATGTGAAACTTCTTCATGAAAGTTGGTTATTGAAAAATTACTTTATTAGTAGTATAAATTAATACACCAAAAATATATTAGAAAGATACAATACATATTATTTCTATGTGTGTATGTACAGTTTTGTTCTTCCTTGTATATAAGAAGAAACAACTCAAGCCCAATTATATCGTTTCTATAAAAATTCGAAATGCATTCTAGTTCCAGCTGACAATTGCATTTATTTGACCGGTGAATCTGATCTTTAAGTTGCACATAGATATCTGTTTGAAAACCTGAGGGTACTGGACGTCGGCTTCGTCCTAGTATAGGACTCCCCAACAGTGAGTGTTTACGACCCCACACATGGAATTCGGACCCAGCACCTACGGTCTTACACACGAACGCCTAAACTTTAGACCACTAAGCCGTCATCCAAAGGTATTAATGTATTAATTCAACTGATTCATGATGTCGCGCGACCATTTCCATTGCCTTCAGTAGATAACTTTTTCACACTCAGCACGGTTGAACTCCACTGGTCTAACATTGATCGGTTCATGACTTCAATGAAATTCAGCAATCTCCACAACCCAAAATAAATACTATATTTTGTTCTAGGGAAATCAAACTTTAGTAAAATATCAGTAGAATCCTCACTGAATTAGTGATTATTGATCACAGAATGAAAAGTAATAAATAATGTGCATTTTAACAAAAATATTGTAGAAATTGATTCACAACTATATATATGAAGGATTCACTTACTGGGTAATTATTACATTAGTCACTTCATCATCTAGATATAAAACGGCAGCTACAGTGGTATGTGATATTGTAAGCTTCTAGAGACATTTCAGACTAGTATTTTAGTCTGATTTTATCCTCCATAAATAAATATGAATATCATGCATGGATTTCAATGCTTATATTGAAAAAGTAGATAAACTTTGTGGCTTTGATCTCTACATGTTAAGTTATCATGTTACTGAATGACTACATCACTTAAATACCCATATTTAATATGCTTCAGAATGTAACACAGCCTTAATATTAACTTTTCGAGATTGAATAAATAAGATTTTTTTCGAAAAGAAAGGCACCCTATGTGAAGATGATTCCACGTCACTTATATCAATATAGTGGTAGGTGATAACGAGCATGGGATTGTGAAGCTTTTGTTAGTACTCCAGGTGATATCATTAGTGCTTACTTTGAATTGAAGCAGGTATCTTAAAGTTACCCATCAGTTAATTATTCAGTGTATCTTGAAGATTCTGTTTGCAACTGGTTATTTCTATGCGTCTGTATACTCCAGTTGCCGCGTTAGACGGTTGAAAATAATTAGTAGATAGACTTGGATCTAAGTTTGGTACAAAGCAGTAGGGTATATCTATATCTTGAGTAAACTGGTATACCAAGTGAGATTTATACCTTATTCCCAATCATCCTAGTAACCCATATTAATACGAAATCACTGTTACCTCATATGACTTCTTATAGCACTGATATACCTAATTTCATTGTATACTAAGTAATAGCCCATATCATAATTGTTCTAGTTGGCTGTTTTGTGATGATGATCTCTTATCAAATAAAACTATATCTTTATTTTGTACAATAGGTTATGTTACTATTCCACTAAACGATGATTCAGAACAATGTGAGATACAAAAATGGTTTACTATGCAACCTCCACAAATTAATTCAAATTTAAATTATCTAGAAAATTTACAAGTTCGTCATCAACAACAAACAGATACAAATCAAAATCCATCGACTAATTCTTCAAATGGTGTATCAGGACGATTTCGTAAACATTCGATTCCAGCTTCATGTTTTGGATATTCTAATTCATTTTCAATCATACCCAATTCGCAGTATACTACTAATAGTAATAATAAATTAAATGATGATAATGAACTTAAGTATAACCATATGGAACTATCAAAAAAGAAATGTTCATGGACTGCTGGTGTCAGTACAGATAGTAATTTTAATAAAAATAATAAAATTATTCCTAAATCATCATCATCTACATCAACTGCTACTTCACCAAATCTTTCACCTAATAGTAATTCAGTTACAAATAATTTTATTTTACCTGAAAATTCTTTACCTCAACTTAGAATGATGATTCATTATCAAACAGTTGATATTCTACCGATTGCTTGTTATAATGAATTGAAAGAGGTAAGCAATTATGACTTATCGATTTAACAAAAATGATATGATGTATTTCTATTCAAAGATTCACAACATTCCTTGTTTATAAGGTTTCTAGTGGATTAAATAAAGATTATTATCTCTTAAATTGTTATATACTCACAGATTATATATATATATATATATATATATATATATATATATATATATATATATATATATATATATATATATGATTAAACTTTAACACGACATATCTCAACAAGATGTTGGACATATTGAAAAATCAGTTTACAATTAACCTCAATACCCATTGACATAGAAACTAGTTAACGTTTCTTCATGGTATGAATTAATAAATTCCCAAGAGATCTTCAATGGAAAATGTATATATAAAACAGCTGGTGTATATTTTAAATTTGATTGTTAAATAGCGGAAAAAATCGTTCAACTTGTTACATTCATGTAAAAATGTATAAATGTGAAGTAAATTATTTAAAGTGAGCTTTCTATGCCAATGAAATTACTACCAAATAATAACTAAAGAAAAGGAATGTGTAATTTTTTCAACATTTCATTATATTGCTATACTATAAATTTACACTATGACAAAATTGAATTAAGTGAAGTTAAACATTAATACAGTTGGATTCCGGCTCAGTGGTCTAGAGGTTAGACGTTTGCGAGAAACCAAAGGTCCTGGGATCGAGTCCTCCGACTGGGATCGTGGATGTGCACTTGTGAGAAGTCCCATACTAGGATAAAACGGCCGTCCAGTGCTTAAAAGTTTTCAATAATGATCTAACATTGATTGGTTCATGAACTCAATCAAAATAAAATTATTTGACAATAAGGGTAAAAATGGTGACAAGCAAATAGTGAATATGTTAAATAACGGTATTACAAACTCACAGGGTGCTTAACACACTAGTTAAAACGTCGAAGTGTGTAGGTTAATCGTAAGACCTAAAGATACAAGTAAATTAATGAAATAGAATACGTAGTTATATGACTGACTTATGACATAATATCAAGTAAGTAAACTAGAAAAATTGGATTATGATGTTAAATGTTAATAGTCGTTTCATAAGAACGAAAAGAAGAACATTACATTTATGCAAAAACAAAGCTACAAAGGAAATAAAAAATTTTAGCGAAATCGTAGAAGAGGGCGTAGTAAGATATAGGTTACAGGCCTTTGTTTGTGAGCAAAATAAAATGAATGGTTCCACGAATTTCTTATGAATGAGGTCAGGTTTGTAAAGGTGAATGCGGAAAGCTATGACTATACACAAAAGAGGAATACATATATAATGAGACAAATTTAGTAGTATGTAATCAATAAACCGAAAATTTTTGTTCAACCCTATTTGACTTTGATTAAATGACCAAAGGGTTTTCTCTTAATCAACCCTAACTATTATTTAGTAACCTAATGAGGATGGTATTCGGATATTTTATGTCTGACTTGCTTAACTATCCACCTTGTGTAAAGAGCAGTTAACTTGGTAAATATAAGATTAATTCAAGTGGTCTATTTTATTTCCCTCTATAGGGAAACCCTAATCTTTCTGATTATGGCTTATGATTTTATTACTTCTACCACTACGTGATTTGAATCGACAAATGCATCTCTGTGCTAATGTGGTATAGCAACTCAAACCGATGTACGTACGTACGAAGTTCTACGCTGTTACTGACTGACTGATTGATTTCCCGCTATGATGATAGATTGAGAGATTATCTGTCTACTGTCTTTATTTTTGAGTATTTAACCTGATACTTACTTATGCCTGTTACTTCCAATGAACCATAGACCGCCGACCAGCATTCGCCAACCCACTTTGTTCTGGACCTTCCTTTCTAGTTCGATCCAATTTTTGTTCATTTTTCTCATGTCTGTCTCCATTTCCCAAAGTAATGTGTTCTTTGATCTTCCTCACCTCCTTTGGCCTTCAGGATTCCATGTGAGAGCTTGCCTTGTGACCCAGTTGGGTGCTTTCCTCAATGTGTGTCCTATCCACTTCCAGTGCTTCTTCCGCATTTCTTCCTCCGCTGGGATCTGGTTTGTTCTGTCCCATAGTAGATTGTTGCTGATAGTGTCTGGCCAACGGATCCTTAGTATTTTGCGTAGACAGCTGTTAATAAATACTTGTATCTTCTGGATGATGGCTTTGGTAGTTCTCCAGGTTTCTGCTCCGTACAGTAGAACTGTCTTGACATTTGTATTGAAAATTCTGATCTTGGTGTCGGTTGACAGTTGTTTCGAATTTCAGATGTTCTTCAGTTGTAGATATGCTGCTCCTGCTTTGCCGATCCGCGCCTTCAATTCTGCATCGGATCCACCGTGTTCATTCAGGATACTGCCCAGATATATAAAGGTTTTAACATCTTCCAAATCTTCTCCGTCAATTGTGATTGGATTGGTGCATGCTGTGTTGTATCGGAGAATCTTGATTTTTCCTTTTGTGTATATTGAGACCTACTGCTGTTCAGGCTGCTGCTACCCTGGTCGCCTTCTCCTGCATTGGTTGTTGAGTTTGCGATAAATATGGACACTAATTCAAATATAAATTGTAATGTTATCATATAATTACTTGGTCATTAATCAAGGAATAAAACCAACCGTATAAAATCAATTTCGTTGCATACGATTTTATAACTGCTTTTTGGCTAGAATAATTTCAACGCATTAACAGCATATGTTATTATCCTGGGGATTTCTTTCTTTCTTATTAAGACAAACAATTTTTTTTCGCTTGTTTAACAAAACAAAAATCATAAAAACAAAAACTAGGCAATTTTCACAATATATATATGTATATATTACATTGAAAGTTATTGATGCATACATGACCTTGTCCAAATTTTAGTCCAAGCGAATTCAGCATTTATATAGATGAGAAATATGTCGTTTATCTTTAACCATTTTGTCAATAATAAAGAATGAATCATCCTCATTAGATAATTCGGTTAATTTTTAGTAGAAATATGATCGGATTGAAAGCTGATTTTATTGAAACCTTAGAATGATATTTTGAATCCATACAGAATTTTTTAATAATTTTGCGACTTAATGGTACAAATTGAATATAATAGTAAGTTTTCTTTCATGAATAATCAGAACTATACAACTACCATCTTGAAGAAATTAACATACTTAGTGAGAGATTGATACCCTTGACATTCTTATTTGGGTCATTTATTTTATTTATTTATTTATTGGAACAAATAAATATTGGTAAAAAGGGGCACCGACTACATATGCACTACACAAGTCACTTGATTTGTGTGTAGGTTGTGATACTGCCTGGATGCCTGTACCTAAAGGTTCAATCCACAAGGCAGTGGAGCAACGTCAAGAGATGCAGTCCCATAGTAGCCGATGATCAACAATTGGTTCATATGCCATTTGCTTCCTCAGGATCCTGGAACCTATGTACACCACTGGTTTGGAATCAAGGTATTTCAACTCTCCTAGGTGAACTCTCCGTGTCCACCAACCTGGTTAAAGCGCGGGACATTTGCTTTTTGTCTTCTGAGTTTCGTAAACAACATTTCTGCTACAAGAAGGTAATCGGGTTATTTAATAATGTTAATTGTTTTTAAACTAACTACTTAATATCATCATTGCTACATACATAATATATCGTACTTCTAAATGTTTCCCATCTATACACTTTATTTTTACTTATAGTTCATCAAAACAAAATATTTGGATTTGATTAGAAACTTAGAACTTAAATTATCAGCTAAACAAAAAGAAGAATTGACCAGTTGTTTTGTAAATATTTTTGAAAAACTTCCAGATTTATCTGTAGCGGAATTTTTATCAGTACTACTTCGTGAAGATTTAAGTAATAATGGTAGGTTTTTTTTCTCTCATTATTTTCTTTCACTACATTATGTATTAGAAAACTTTGTTTTTCATAATACTCTGTGTTTAGGGAAACAACGAAAGCAGACAAGTTAGTCATTGATTAATGTGATTCATAAAACACAATAGTATATAAAACCGAACCATAATCATTTCTAACTAATCTACTCGGTAGATTTGGTTACATAGTAGTAACTTCTGACATCTTTCTCGACATCATACCTAATACTTTTACAATGCCTTTTGTCTTCAATAGTTTTTAAATGACAATTCCCAAAGTCAAGATAACAATTTATTCTCATAGCTAAACATCTAAAAAGCAGTTTATTTAATTTTTAACTAGGTAATTTATTATTAAACTAGATTTTTTTATTGAGATCATGAACCGATTGATGTCCTATTGTGGGACGAAACGGCCGTCCAGTGCTTCCAGGTTTCTAACGGTGGTCTAACATCAATCGATTCATGATCTCAATAAAAAACTTAATAATCTCCACCACCCCTATACTGGTATTAAACTAGATGTTTAACTTTCTGTTTAAGAATTGAATCTTTTGTTTACTAAACATTTAAAATTGAAGTTAGAAAGGTGCCACACCGTAGACTAAGTCTATCAATATTTCAAAGCTTTTTTGAACTTCTCACTATATATTTTGATTGCGTTCACTTGAAGAAACCCTGTAATTTATTGAAACTGCTTATATCACAGAAAGCATGTAAGTATATTGTTATGTTTAATATAGTCATAACATTCGATTATATCAACTCTATTAATAAAGAAATCAAAAAATGAGCTAAATAACATATTTACTCATCTGATAATTAATTTATAGAAATATAAATAAGAATCTTTAGTTATAGACTTCAACTTTTGGAAGCAGTTTTAATGAAGTTTATCAAATGTTAATTCTCAAAAATAAACTATATCGTCTTAACTATCCACAAACAGTAAATATCTAGAATCGTCAAGAAGATCAAATATTGATAACCAATCTATATCTACATATATGTTAATATCATAGACGTGTTAATCAAAGTATAACAAATTATGTACACTCATGAAATTTGAAGATAATTTGTAGATAACCTCAAATAAAGAAACATAAGACTGACTTTTACAAATACTTAACGTCAGATCCTTATCTAACTAATTTTACTGAATATCTTAATTTTAATAGAATGGATATATATATATATATATATATATATATATATGTCCATTTGTCTGGAAAGAACAAGCATTTATTACATTTGTCATTCTGTATATGACAGTGATCATCCAAAAAAAGTCTTATTTATATGCATTTATCACTCATTCATCAAAAACATATAGATGTTATCATTTGTTTGAAGAAGCAAACTGAATAGCTATTTAAAGGATTTATCTATTTGAATTTGTTTTATTTATTATATTCAGCTACAATTGTAACTATTCTTATGTAGTTTTCCCACATCTATTTATATATTGGATATACCTTACTACTAACCTCTGATAGTTGTGAATTAAATAAGTCATCTTTCAGAGGATATTAAGATTATTTAGCTTAATAACATCACATACAATATAGGCTATTTTACTTCATGTTCCATATATTTAAAATATCATTGTTTCGAAACTAATCTACTTGTTTTCATTAAGACACACTACAGAACTATTTCACATGTAACCGAAAACTTATGATACAAAAATGAGTAGAATCAATCACTTTAATATCTTCATAATATCTTACTGTCATATTTTACTTTAAACCTTCATAATGTATAATTTTGATGAAAAAAAACATTCAAGATTTTAACCTAAATCGGTTAACCCCCCAAAAATATAACAACAATACTTGGTCCAAATATCAGTCAGTCAGTAAAAACGTATAACTTTATAGGTACGTATATGAGTTCTAGTTGCCATACCATATTAGCACGGAGACACAATTGTCAATTCAAATCCCATAAAGGTAGAGATAGTAAAAGTATAAGCAGTAATCAGAAGCATTAGGGTTTGATGATGTTAGTCAAGGAGTATAATCCAGTGAAATAAATTTGGATAGAGAAAAAAAAGGGACATGAAGAATTCAGAAGGTTAGAATATGGGAGAACACAAAGAGTGGATGCACCTGCGCCATTGCCAACGGTTTTGAGCCATGTCATTCAACGTCTCTAACGATCGGTTGCATTCGTCTCGTGGATCCCAACCAGGTAGTCTACACCTACCAATTTGGCTCGGTCCACTTGTCAGTGACTTCATGGATTTGTGCCATGTTCTGGTTTCGCCGCCCCTACCAACCTTCCAACCTACTTTTACACCATTAGACATCGCTCGTCGGGGCAGTCTGTGGTTGGGCATACATAACACATGTCCCAGCCATCTTAACTGATGAAGTTTCACTGCTTCATCAATTGATTTGCCATCCTTACCTAGTACCCGTTACCTAACAACTGCATTACTTACTCAGTGATCTCAGGATATACGAGCATCGATCGAATTCTAGTAACCTACGAATATCCTCTACTCTTACTGGCCATGTTTCACTGCCATAAAGTAGGACGGAACGAACTGTTGCGCAGAAAACCCGTCCTTTGGTTGGTGAACGGATATCTCACCTACGCCACAAATGACGCAAGTTGGCAAAAGCTAGTCGAGCCTTCTGTATCCGTGCTGCGATTCCATCACACATCAGACCACAAGGGTTGCTGAGACTCCCAAGATAAGCAAAGTGGTTGACACGCTCAACTACTTCGTGTGTCGATGCTACCCAATCCTGAAGAAACATTTTGCATTTCGAAAGGTGATAATCGTAACTCGAATATGCTTGGATTGTTTCTTATAGTGGTTCAAATATAAACCAAACCTACATGCAGAAACTTTACTGGGATGTTGTTTTCAAAGATGACAAAGATTATCTGATTGTAGAGTTGTTCTTTTTTTCAGATTGAATAAGTTATAGAATTATGATAAAAATTTAAATTACGCCTAGTTGACAGTAATTCATAATATGAATCATCATAATGCACTTCCGGTTGTCCATTTATTTAATTTAAAAAATATATATAAACATTAAGAATATGACGGAAGTAGAAATTTGGTCAAATACAATGTGAAAAATAGTCAACTGTTCAACAGCATCTTTTATTTAGTTGTTATACAAATGTAATATATTTTTGATTGAGATCATGAACCGACTTATGTTAAGCCACCGTTGGAAACCTGGAAACACTTGATGGCCATTTTATCTTATTGTGGGACTCCTCAATAGTGCACATTCACGACCCCGCTCGCGGGATTCGAACCCATGGGCTACAGTCTCGCGTGCGAACGCTTAACCTACTGGACCACTGAGCCGGCCAGCATCTAATGATGTTAGTGTCTAACATCAACCAATCTGCGAAATTGCGCGACCATCTTCCATTATATTGAGGTAGATAGTTGTCTCTACCCGACACGGATTAGCTTCATGATCTCAATCAAAAACTTAATAATCTCCACAACCCCCATGCTGTTAAAATGTTTTGTTGAAAATGTGTCATTTAATAAACCTTGATTTTCATATACTCACCTTTGAAATGTACTTTTCGCCTGATTTTCAGTGACACTATAAGATCATTTAAAACATAAAATTTCCTAGGACTAACCCGGTATTTCACTTTCTGTTATCAGTCCCTAAATTATGTTCTCTTTTTAAAATACTTAATAACTCTATAACATACTACTTTATTGTAATCAGTACTATATTGCTTTCTTAATATATTTTACCAGATAAATTATCTGCTTTAATGCAAGAAGTCTGTGTAAATTTGTTAATTTGTAGTTTTCATCTTAGCATGAATTTAGCTAAAGGAACATTAAAACCTAGAAACTACTGGACTATTATTTCTTTGTCATATATGTAACTCTCTTATAGACAATTATTCACTGTTTATTGAAAATATATTTTGTTGAAAAAACCCACTTAACTGTTTAGCTTTTTTTTGTTTAAATTAAGGAAAAGAATCTATGATATTTCGAGCTAACTCAGCAGGGTCAAAAGCAATGGAATGTTATATTAAATTAGTGGGAACGGATGTAAGTCATAATGTAATTAATTGTTACAGACTTTATATACTGTGTTATAAATATCTGTATTGTTTTCCTGTTTTTTCATTTACCAGAAATAATGTAATATGATACATTTTAATGCAATGAAATAAAACTGGAACACAATTTTGTTCATCATTAAAACTTCTCTATGTTCTATCTAGCTTATTACACACTTGTTAGGTAATTATATTTAATAGTTATCTTTCTTAAGCGTTTACTATACTGATTATAAATAAATCTTTTTCATCTGAGATTTATTCACACCATCCAAAGAAACAATAACATCTGTGTACATTCTGTTTAAACATAAACAGAATAATATTCTTCTCACTGAATGTTATGTAACAACGGAACATTCAAGTAACTAAAAGATTCAAACAACAAAGTATCAATCTTACCTATTCTATTATTCTTAGTGTATTTGAAAAGATTTAATTAAACATAAGAATTTTAGCATATAAAACAGAAAGAGTCGGATAAAATATTTCGACAGTTGTTTTTATTTATATTTCGGACAGGAAAATAAAATAAAAAGCGAAATAATAACAGACTCAAAAAAGGAGAAAAATCCTGTTTTTACATTTAGTTAGGCATAAAGGACAACCAAATACGTTATTTTATCTACTATGATCTCATTATTATTATTATTAATATTATTATTATTATTATTATTATTATTATTATTATTATTATTATTATTATTATTATTATTATTATTATTGAGAATATGATCAAACAACGAGAAAACACTGTTTGTATAGTTCCGTTTACTATAAAATCAAACAACTATAAAACTGTTTCAGTGTAAATTTTTTGTAGAATATAAAAACAAATATCAAACTAAATAAAGTAGATGTCACCTACATGCATACACATATACATATACTCACGCTTATATATCTATATAATGCATATATATATATATATATATATATATATATATATATATACATATATATATATACAATCGAAAATGTCCTAAAGTAAGATCTAAATTAAAATACGAATATTAAAATGGACAGAAAGGAAAGTATAAAAATATAATTTATTAGTTGTTACATCAACTATGTAATTTTAACATAACTGATTACAAGATGGAAATAGGTTATTATTATTATTATTATTGTTATTATTATTATTATTGAATAATAAATGTCCTAATAATTAATAGTGTGTTAATTCTCATGAAATAAAGTGAATTCATTCAATATTAACAAAATGAATAAGAAACACATTAGTAAGTAAGGTATTATTATCAACTAACATTTCTAAATACTTTTGTCATTGGGAAAAAAGACATACATAAACTACTTTCATGTTTTCTATGTATTTTGTATGAATTTTCGGATATTTAAAGATGATTACAAAGTTAAAGCATCTATATAACTTCTCAATATATGATTAACAGAGAGAATTTGAAAGAACATAGATAAGAATTATATTTGTGAAAGTAGTTTCATTATGCTATTGGAAAGAATTATAAGATGATTTAGAAACTAAGGCGATAATAGAATGAAACGTCAAAAAATAATTACAGTGTTCCAGACTAAAAGTCATCATAATCACTAATAAAGTCTAACAGTGTAGTGTCAAGTTTTTAATATCAAAGGTAACTTTATAACAGAAAATATACATCGTTTTTTTACGCAGATGATTGATTTATTGACTTTAAACTGCACAGACACTGAGATGATGCCTAATATCATGTGAAATAGCCTTCAGTGTTATTCAGTTCTACTCAGTTGTAATCACTAAAATAAATGACTTACGTAAAAGGGAACTGTAATCAGGCCTACAACAATTCATCGGAGATATTCATATTTAAAATTATCAGAAAATTATGTCTGCTATCTCAACGATATAGACGCCAAATCAAACATTTAAAATAAGATCATCCAATATAAGAACTTTTACCTAAATTTGATCGAATATTTTCACAGTATTTGGGCGCTGACTTGATGTAAGGCAAATCCAATCAATATTATTAAGAGAGTTGGAGTACAATAAGCTGTCTTATGGCAACTAATAGTTAATAAGTAAACCTGAACTCCTTATTCCATTTTATCTACCGTTTATTATCTGAATAACAGCAATTATGTTCAACGGTTTTAATCAGTTGTCTTATCTGAATATGTTAAACAGCTAACCGGAACAATAAAAAAAATAAAAAAAACTAACATAAACATTCATTTACATTCAGTTACAAATACATTCTTCCTCTTTAAATTCATTCCTTTATCTTGTTTATTTATCTTCATTTTATGTATTCTGTGACATTTTTGATTTATATCATATATAGAAATTGTATGTTTCTTTAAAATTCACCAACCAGAGACAATATATAGTGAATGAAATTTCTTCTCACACCATTTAGGTATACACACAATCTGTTATCTTAACACCCTTTTTGTTTCATACCACATATCTCATACACACTAAAACAAATACCTAATTTAATCATTGTTAACGTTGATTGGATGATTTATTTAGTATACAGTGAACCAGAGAACCATGTACCTATTTATATTCAATAATTTTAATGTTTGATTAAATTTCCTTGAAAAAGCTTGAACCAGATTGCTAGACGAAACGTTGAATTTACTTTAAATTCATTTGCTGAGATTTTACATATACATTCATCCTCTTTAAGATCATCCAATGTTATAATAAACATATTCCACACAAATTTAGATAATTTTTGAAGATGATTTTAAATCAACTCAAAAATAATTTACTATTTGTTATTTGAACTTTAACATTAATAACTGTGCACTTGGAAAGTAATAGAAATTTTACTACTCTAAAGATAAAGTGTCTCTGTAAATAATCTATTTTATTGAAAGTTATTCTAAACAACTTCACAGATAAACTAACCTTATGAATGATAAATTAAGTTTATATAATTTACATAAATTATATTAATTCAAAAATTACATGTATCCAGACAGATAGTGTCTATCAAAAAGTCACAGTAGAATTTATACATTATAATTAGAAGTTAGATTACAGTTAGTAAGGCGACTTGTATTTGATACATTTGAAAATTACCAAATGAACACTTTCAAACAAAACGGTTTATAAAGTCACTCTTTTGAACAATAAGAATGATCGACTTCTTTGATTCATTGTACATAAAATTTAACCCATATTTAATTATTCTTCATTTCAGAAGGGGTTTTGTAGAGACTGTAGTAATTTCAATAGTTCAGTTCATGAGTCAATTGAAGCTAGACCACCATGGAAAATCTGGAAGTACGAGACTGATAAGTCCTGGGTTCGAATCTCGTAGATCGGGATCGTGGATACGCACTGCTGAAGAGTCCCACAATAGGACGAAACGGCTGTCTAGTGCTTCCAAGTTTTCCATGGTGGTCTAGCTTCAAGTGACTCATGATCTCAACTATTGATATTCTTCATTTGTTGATAATCAAACGAAAGTTAAATAAAAGAAAACAATTTGATTTTTTTATGGAATTAAAAAAATAGAATGCTTATGATATTTATTGAATTTAGGTATGTTAATTATGAACCACAACTAATTATCTCTCATTCAAGTAAAATCTCTTCCTGTATGTATTTAACGTATGACATTGTATTCATAAAAGTTTATGGTTGGATGGTGGAAGGTTAATATCACTCAATATACACTAATGAGCTTCCCGAAGAAGTTACCTTTATTTAATAAATTTAGTGATTTACTCGTAAATACTTATTACAAGTTCCTGTTAGGCATAAGCATATTGAAAATGAAAAAAGACACATCAACTGTTTAAGGCTAAGTATTTTTTCAAGGATAAGATAATGAACTAAACTAAACTGAAGTGACGTAATTAATAAATGGCATACAGTTAAAAGATATGCATTAAAATAGTATACTGATACCGCTTATTTTTTATAGAATTCTTTGAAGGACGTGAAAATTTTATGAAAAACACTATAAAAACAATTCGGAAAATAAAAAAACAACAATTTAGGGAGGTTACCATGTAGTTCATTAGTCTATATTTAATAACAAATCAATTAGGTATATAATAGAATGAAACCACTCAACGCATTATTTATCTTATTTATTCCTAAATGGTACACATGCTATTCGATGTTTTCATCTGCTTTTGTTGGTGTGTATGGGATAGAAGGACAGGTGATCTAAAAAGTTCAGATCGTCTACTTGCATACAGGTTGCCTATTTTATTCCGTGCTTCTCCTCCGATGTCGGGGTCTTCATAATCCAATCAACCACCAGAATTAAGACAAAAGTTGAAGGTAAACAGTCTTGTCTGACACCAATCTTCGCTTGGAATGCATCTATCAGTTGTCCTTCACGCACCAGTTTTCAGTTTAGTCCGTCGCATGGATTTGGTATGATGGTAACGATCTTTTCAGCTACTCACACCAGAGTATCGAAGGAGGTTCCATAATGTGTTCCTATCCACACTTTTAAATGTTTTATTTCCTCGGTTGTTGGTAGGGTAACATCTGTAGGACGTTCTGCGTGCGCTGATTCTATATCCGATGGGCCCAGTGGGTCTGGTCTATTCAGGCGTTCTTCAATGTAGTCTACTCATCCATTTCACTGTTCTTGAATCTCAGTTACTGGCTTTCTCTCTTTGTTTTTGACTGGTCGCTCTGGTTCACAATATTTCCCTTCTAGTTTCTTTGTTGTATCGTATAGTTATTTCATATTTCCTTCTAGTGCAGCTTTTTCCTCTGTCATCACTAGCTCTCCTAGATATTTCTAATTATCGGTTCCAATGCTCTTTACTCTTTTGTTTCCATCTGTGTATTCTGTCAGTGCCTCGGCCTTCTCTGCTCCTGTTTGACTGATGTCGATTTCTGACTTTTTATTCTTCCTTTCTTGAATATTGTCTAGGGTTTCGATGGAGACCCATTCTATATGATGGTGTTTTCGAGATCCAGAACCTCTTATAATGTCCAGGTTGGTGCCTTTTTAACTCCTCTCCAGTTATCCTCAATATTAGCTTCTTTTTCAAATAGATCTTGCAAGGTTTGGAACCTGTTGTTGAGAGCTATCTTCAATTCGTTGAGTTTGTTTATATCTCGTTGGAAGGTTGTATTGAACCTTTGTACAACTGTTTGTCCAGTTGTTAAATGCTTCTTTAGCTTCAGTTTCATCTTGGTAACCACCAGTTCAGCTACTCTCCTGGTTCTCACGTCTCCCATTGATCTTCTGGATTTTTAATGATGCAAATATGATCAATCCGAATCTCTTAAGTGTGGTCCAATGCGGCGCACACAGTCTTGTATATGAGTTCGTGTGGGAATATTATGCAGTCTATAACCGATTTGTTGAATGTACATAAATTTCCAAATTTCTTACCATTCTCATTCATCTCTCTTAGTCAGTCCATGTTGCTACATGGTATATTCATAATGGTGTTGTCCATCCCGAATTCGGCGTTTATTTTTCCCACCAGGATTGTCAGATCTTTTCCTGGTCACTTCACTGCGATCGATTACAAACTCTTGTAAATTTGATCTCCATTGCTATCATTGATGGACGCATAACATTGGATAATATTCATTGTAATTCCCTCCTTCTTTGTTTCGAAGAACGCTTTGATAATCCTGGATCCAGAAAATTTCCATTCTTTGAGTGCATTTCATGCATCTTCAAACAGCATCAGAGCAACCCACTGAGCGTGCGGAGCATTTTGTGACCAGAGTACAACAGCACTTCTCCTGAACGTAATATTTTCTGTCTAGCTTGGGTTCAATACGTTTTACATATTCCGAACACCGTCAAATTGTATCTCCTCATTTTCGTTATTATTTGACTAATTCTCTCAGTCATCCATATTTTCCGGACGTTCCATGTGCATATATTAATTGTCGTTGAGGTTGTTAGAAGAGGTATCGGCCTTGTGATTTCCGAAAAATCTACGCTTTCATCATGAGGCAATATAATTCTTCCTTGAACTCGGAGGGCAGAATTAAAACGGTTTAAACATGTTTATCCTGGTTACTGTTTTCTTAGCAAGGTTGTTTTCTACGGGATGGAGTTGCTAACTCCATGCAGAAACCTCCTTTGTGTGGGCTTGTGACCGGCAGTAGCCCCAGAAGGGCAACAGTAGGGATTGTATACTAGGATACATTGCTGAACATAACAGTTCAGTAAGTGAGCATCATAACCGTGGATCGATATTATAATTGCTACTCGATGTTATTTATAAAATCAGTGAGTTTCTAATAACTATAATCAAGTAACGAATCCAACAAATAATTTCTCTTGCATCAAATTTTGTAAATGCATTTTAGTTACTCATAAGTAACGTAAACTAAGAACCTTATTTTTTGAGTTATATATTATTCTGGTGCCCATTGAAATCAAAATTATGAATAAAATTAAACAATCTCCTCAAAACTTCAAACATTAGATCTATTTCCCAACCTTAACATTCAACTGTGAATCCCCATTCTAATTCCTTCACACTAATTTATAATTCTCACTTAACCCTGGTAAATAGGTGAACATTCCAAGGTCTTTTTAGCATTGCTAAAAGGTTGTCCATAAATTATAGTCTTGCCGGAGAATTTCGCCCGGCTAATGGAGATAATAGTAACAATAACAATGAATTCGTGTAAATACAATATGTAATAGGTGAGATGTAATCTAGGTAATTATGATAACAAGTACATGTGAATTGGGAAACATAAATGTGTAGATTGAGGAGGCAGAACAGATATTAACATAAAAAATAATTGGTAGTGGGGTGTAAGGGATCGATAATATCCAGTTTATGTATATAAAACACTAAAAGCACCAGAAAATTTTTAGAATCTTGGCACTGAGGTCAATCAGCAATCAAACATATTTAAATCGATCCAGTCTATCAACCAATCAGAAAAATCATAGACAAATGTAGAACCAAGAATCAAATCAAGAGGCGAAACAATCAAAAGAAAGGTAGAAAATGGTAGGTCAAAAGTCAATAATAACTAATCAAGATCGGGGTCCAAAGGATAAGCTGTCAGTCATGCGTGGAGAAATTCGGCCACTTTGTTTCTACCTGAAGTCTGTGTTGGTAATATTGTTCGAAAATAAGACGAAAGCTTCACGACCAAACCATCCTGCTCAAAAAACAAAACTCCACCTAAATCATCCATCTAAGCTATAAATCTTCACCATCTCAGATAAACTTAATCATATTTAACATATGACACTGTTTAATTCACCATTATTATTTCTATTATTAGTACTAATGGCTCAATTCAATATTATATTTTGGTACCAGCATTCCTTACTTTGGACTTTGTAAAATAACACAATAACTATGGACTTAAAACCGTAGAGTCTGATCACGAAGTCATTGAAAGAAACTGTTAATTTAAATACTCTTTGTTTTCAATTTATATATGGAACGTCGTCTGTTGGCAGCCTTAACAAGGCGCATCATTTGATTAAAAGTGATAATTAATAATGTATCCCAGCAATAATTCTTATAGTTTGAGCGTAAGCATTCCAAATTCGACATGTTATCTCGTATACAATTTAATACACGGATAAAAAATTAGCCATTATTTCCTGTTCTTGATTTATGCAATGGCTAAAACTTATGAGAATTCAAAACGTTTTAACAAAAATCCGACACGAAACGTTTAGCTGGCAAGCATCAATATTTTCATAAGTGTTGCAAAAATGAGTAACACTGGTAAAACAATAAAAAAATACTGAAAGTTTGTGATGAAAATGTCTTTTAAGTACTCCATGTGTTGATGTATGAAGGTGTTTAAACTATTGTTTAACATCAGAACTCTCATAGCTCTATCATAAAAAATTACAAGCTGTTTAGTTGTTGCTTGGTCCGTTAACTGTCTAAACGTTTTGATTATCTGTAATACTTAACCCATAGTTTATTTTGTTCACATAACAGCTTGGAAATTTCACTGAAAATCATTTTTTATTAAAGATCTAAACCGTACTGAAATTGAAGAGCTTACATGAAATTTAGGGTATATGAGTAAAGCCACTACAGAGTCCACTTATAACCAAGTACCTCAAAAAAAATTAATCAACTTGAGTTTATTTAATTGAATACTACAATGTTATATATGAACATCTGTTTGATATTATGTAAATAATCCCATAGCGAAAAACTCATAGTTCAAAATTATACTCTGTTTCTTCTGGTCGTGTAATTATTGAGTCCTCAAATCACTTAACTAAATCAGAATACAACATTAAACCAACTTAGTGTGGTTATTTTAACAGTTTCATACAAACGACAGATCAGTTTCATTACCATTATGTGCAAAACAACAAGAATGTATTATATTCTACTTTTTTTCCTGTTATCTTTCAGTATTTACGATACACTCTTGGTCCAGTAATCGACCAATTACTTGTTATTGGAGATGACTTCGAAATAGATCCTTCTAGATTAGGAGCTTCCAATGATTCATCTACTGCATTAAACAACCGAAATACATTATCTGCTATACTAGAAAGAAATCGTACTGCTTTACTAAAAAATGTTGCAATGATCTGGCAAAGAATTGAATCAAGTCAATGTAAACTACCGAAGTAAGTTCAAATAAATTATTTATTCATTAGAAATGATGATTGGTAATAATTATTAATTTACTGAAAGTATAAACATATCAAATTATAAGTATGTTATGCGAACCTACTTGCAGTAAAAAAAATACACTACTATATTTGGAAATTATTTTAAAAGACCTTAATTCTTGACGTCTTTGAATTAAAACATGCTTATTAACAATAGATAATTACTTCACCAAATGAATTTGGCCATATCCTTTTTTCAAAAACAATAAATAACCTTGCACACTGTTATGAACAAGAACACAACCAGAGACAACTAAATGTATTTCAATGCAAAATTACAGAATATCTTAGTAAAATTTCAGAATCATACAGTAAATAATTTATTTGCAAAATATCAATCAATTGTCTCAGACTCGATTGTTCCTTCGTCTCTACACCAATCACTATCCGTTCTCGTTCTCTTCTCTTCGATCTTCCTAACCTTCTGCGACCAAACATTCGACTTTCGATTGGTAATACATACTATTTATATCTGTCGACATCAGTGGCACACACCACAATATCATTTTATTCCCAAAAATAATTAGGATTTGCTGATGTATACCGCTCGCCATTAAAGAATACCTACTATCTATGTAAATGCAGCATCACATAAGGTAATATGTAGATTGTGAAATGTCTTTTTGGTTATTTATGGAAGATCTCGCAAGAAACAGGTGATTTTATTTATCAATTGTTGAAAACTTCACGGTTCACCGATTTTAGTCACAAAAAAGCACAACTTACATATGATTGTCTTAATCAATTGATAGTCAAACATAGTTCCTATTTCTTGAAAATTTGTCTTTGAGTGATAAATTTAGTTTTATTGTCAAACAAAACATTTTTCCGCTCATTAATAAGTTCCACCTAAAAAATTTGTTAAACGTATCTGTGAATAACCATATAACTTAGTTATATTGTAATAATCAATAGTTTAACCAGCTCAAATATTAGATTGTATTTGCGTAGCTTTTTAGTCAGTGTGGTTGTGTACATTTATTTGTAAGCAAAGTATGGGAAAGTTTGTTATCTTCAAAAGTATACAGATAAGTTGGATAACTTAAGTTACAAAGTTAAGCCAATATTAATTTTAAGCTTTCATCTAATCAATATCAATGGAAAAAAGGCGTATTGAATTTACTATGATTGAATTGCTCAAGAAAAACTCTACAACACATTGTTGATTTTTCTAAGTAATTACATTTATCCTAATTATTGAACAACAAATAATATGTATTCTTTCAATGCATTATTCACTACTTAAAAATGCAATTGACCATCATTGTACATCAACAAACTTTGAATACTATTCATATAAATTATAGGATTCCAAATTTGTATCTACTTCTCATCTGAGGGATTGTTGTATAAATACCTAACTAATATATTTTTTACTCAACATTTATTACTCGAAATGTAATTAGAATCTGATTATCAATTTGATTTTATAATCTAGCTATGTAAACACTATATCATAAACTGAAATGAAAGATATCAATCATTCAACTATATAGGTATCCTTCTAGATTCAATCAATATTGCCATATTTACCAATTTGTCCTTTAAAACTAACTGAAATTTTTTTCATCCAAAATTCCTTATCTAATTTTCTTATTAAAGAAACACTATTAGAGAAAATAATCCACTAATATTCATTTACATAACTGTTAATTAACTAATCATTTATGATATTTGGTTTACAGTAAGTAAACCTGAATGGTTTATTCCGTTTTTAATCAACTTAACTGTAATTATTTGAATTGTGTCCTTATTAACTTGTCATCATACAAATAAGATGATCGAATCACAAAAATGATCTGTGATTCACATTGATCAAACTACAGTGAAATTAATGTAAACTATAGCAAAAGAGAAAACAGACATGAAATTACTCATGATTAAGATAGGTCGTAGTGAATGCAAACTGTATATTGGGTGTTAATAACATAAAATCTATAAAATCTTGTAATTGAGACATTTTAACAATTAAAATTGTGCAAATTCATAACCATAATACTACTACTGATTCACAATACATATTGTAGTAGTAATAGTCGATTGGTTACCATTCAGTTAGCTTATTAATTTTAAAGGCGTTTATTCCCACATACATGATCTTTCATTATTATTATTATTATTATTATTATTATTATTATTATTATTATTATTACCATTTACAATACATAATCTAGTATTATAACCTTCTTATTACATCGTCATGTTTATTTATCATTAAAATTTTAAAAATTCCCATATTGTGAATTAGAACAACGTGTATAAGTGAACAAAACTGGTTTCGATTAGATCCTCATCAGGCTTTATTCTAAAATACAGTAAAATTTATGTGCATATACAAAATTATTAAACCAATCAAGGCAGTTTATGAGTCGGTGATAACAGTGGAATAGATTACATAAATAACCATAATCAGTAAAGAGTACTAATTGATAGTGTTCAGATAACTGGATAGTTAAGCGTATATTTGTAAAATAAGTGGGAGGGGGGGGTAAAGAAAAATAAATGAACAAAGAGTATAGAAAAAAATAGTGAATAAAACCCCTTACTGAGGCTAATTTGCTCAAGGGAGATATAAAGTTGTTACAAGGTTCTTATTAGTACCAAGACTTTGATTATTACTTCAAATTCCTTTGGCTTCTGCTATGCATAAGAGACGAGATTGAACCCCATAAGGAAAACTGGTAGGGATACGACAAATCACTTTAAATAACCTGATTTTGCTCACTACATGACTACAATCTATCAAGTGTGATAGAACAGAGCGGGGTATTATTTTAATAGTACCCTTTCCTAACCAGGAAGGAAGGTGTTCACCGACTCGTTGGTTTAGTTGTCTGGTTGTGCTCCCAATATAACTTCCTTCACAAGGGCAGCTGAATTTAAGATACACATAGATGTGGTAGGACCAGATAATTTATCCTTTTGTTGAGAAATCACCGTAGGTCGAGTGTAGAACGGTAGGCAGAGTTTAGCTGCATGAAACGTACTCTTCGCTGCTTTAGTTACTCTTTGAGAGATCCATTTTCTAGTTCCACAAGAAAAAAATCAGCAGGGATAGGATCTAGAGGTGAACCCATTGCTATTCCAACAATGTTTGTAAAATGTGTTATTAAAGATAAAATGGATGGTCATTGGTTATATAATTTCGTATATGCTTATAAATATTACTATATATTAGAGCAAAGCCTGATGAGGATCTAATTAAATACAATATTGTTCGCTTATATATTTTGTTCTATTTATTATTACTCAACCTTATTTTGCATTAAACATGTAAGACATTTTCACCATAAAACATGATTTAATTACATAGTTGGAACCGTATTTCAAATACTGCAAAATTTACATTATTCTATTTAGTTTGCCGTTGACACAAAACGTGTTTCCAAGCGGCGTGGAAACATATTTCTCATACTCATAATTCAGTTGCAGAATTACTCAACAGCAATATTGTTTAGTTAAACAGAGACAAAATGATCATTTATAGTATCTGTTCAAATCTAAATATCTTTTAAGATGTGAATAGATTGAGGTATCATTAATCTGTCATATTAAGTGAGTACTTCTCGGTATCATATATAAAATTCATGCTAATCTTCAGTGGACAACTCTGCTTGTTCATGAAAATAATTCCCTGTAACAACAACTGATAAATTATCTTTCCAAATTTAAAGTAGTTAAAAGTACTTTTGATTGGAGTAAATTGATTTTTTTAAAAAGGACTTTTGCTAAGTACGACCGAGAGTGCGGAGAGTCCGTTATCCCTCTCGAAATGCTTTCACATGGCTACGTGTATACAGCCACTGTCAGGGAAGTCCTTCTTACTGCCTTCTCATAATGGAGATGTTGTTTACGAAGTTGAGATGACGAAAAGCAAATGTCCGGCGCTTTAACCGGGTTGGTGGACACGGAAAGTCCACCTAGAGGAGTTGGAAAACCCCAGTTCCAAACCAATCGTGTACATGGGCTCCAGTATCCTTAGGGAACAAATGGCGTATGAACCAATCGTTGGTCATCGGCTACCATGGGACTGCATCTCCTTACGAAGGCTCCGGGTGTGGCCCCCCAAGAAAACCACCTGCTTCGGTTTGGGCACCCGGGCAGTATCACAGCCCTCCCACAAACCAAATGAGATTTGTGCGGCGCATATGTATTCGGTGCCTCCTTGTACCAATATCTATGTGTTCAAATAATAATAATCATCATTACTAATAGAGATATTTGCTAATTTTTAATACCATTAACTTAATCTGACGTAATCTTAAAATAATTTGCTTAATTTTTAAAAAAAAACTAATTTACATTTCAGAGAATTACGTGATGTTTTTACTGCACTAGCATTAACAATTGAAGAAACACATGGAGTTCAATCGGCGGCACATTTAATTTCAAGTTGCTTATTTCTACGTTTTATTTGTCCAGCTATACATGGTCCAGTATTATTTGGTTTAGCTTCATCTATACCAGAAAATAATCGTATTTCTAGAAATTTAACATTAATTGCAAAAGTTTTACAAAATTTAGCTAATTTAACATTATTTGAAGATAAAGAAATTCATATGAAAGCATTAAACTCTTTTATTGAACCAGAAATACCAACAATGTATAAATTTCTTCGATCAATCGCTTCAAATACTGATTCTAATTATCATTTATCAACTAATTCTGATTGTCATGAATTTATTGAATTAGGATATGAATTTGCAAAACTTACTCAATTACTTAATCTTTACGTTAATAAAATTAATGTAAGTTCAACAGTGAATTAATTTTATTTTCATAATACCATGGTATTATGTTTTATATTTTTTTAAATAAAAAGAAATTACAGATCTATAATACTGAGAAAATATTTTAATTTTACTTACTTACTTATGCCTGTTACTCCCAGTGGAGCGTAGGCCGCCGACCATTAATCTCCAATCCACTCTGTCCTGAATCTTCCTTTCTAGTTCGATCCAATTTTTGTTCATTTTTCTCATGTCTGTCTCCATTTCCCAAAGTAATGTGTTCTTTGATCTTCCTCACCTCCTTTGGCCTTCAGGATTCCATGTGAGAGCTTGCCTTGTGACCCAGTTGGGTGCTTTCCTCAATGTGTGTCCTATCCACTTCCAGTGCTTCTTCCGCATTTCTTCCTCCGCTGGGATCTGGTTTGTTCTGTCCCATAGTAGATTGTTGCTGATAGTGTCTGGCCAACGGATCCTTAGTATTTTGCGTAGACAGCTGTTAATAAATACTTGTATCTTCTGGATGATGGCTTTGGTAGTTCTCCAGGTTTCTGCTCCGTACAGTAGAACTGCCTTGACATTTGTTTTGAAAATTCAATCACAATGTGTCGGTGTATACACTCTCTGTCTTCCCTTAAACTATGAGATTAAAATTATTCCATATCTTTCTTTCTTCGAACTAATTCTTCCTTTCTGTACCATATCGTTACATAAGATCTTTCTTTTATTTATTACACCATTGTGTTAACTGCTTCTATGAATCTGGTGTTCGTCTTGCTGTGCTAATGAGGTGGCAACTTGGATCGATGTATGTACCTGGTCCTATGTTGTAACTGACTGACTGACTGACTGGTCGAAAATTCTGACCTTGGTGTTGGTTGACAGTTGTTTTGAATTCCAGATATTCTTCAGTTGTAGATATGATGCTCTTGCTTTGGCAATCTGGGCCTTCACATCTGCATTATATCCATTCTAAATTTTTCTAAATAACTCGCTAAAAAACGCTAACCAGAAAAAATTATTCAAACCACTTAATTATTCCAATTCTACAGATCAAATATTTATATTTTCACATTTAATCAATATAAAAAGTGATGATCTCTCAAATAAACTTAATGGTACTGGAAGAGTTTTCAGTAGTTTTTTCCTAGCGATCTAATAATGATCTGAAAAATAAACATTCAACACCGCTTTCGATAAAGATTTTGTAAGAGTTGGACTACATGAATTTTTAAAGTTTAACAAAAGCCTTTGATATTATAAGATTTTAGTGAGTAGCTGTAAAGATAAAATCAGTCAACCCAGAAATGAGGATAGATCATACAACAACAACAACAGAAACGGTATAAAAAAGGAAATGCGAGCCAACGGATTCTGATCAAACTCCTGAATAATACCTGCTAACCATGAGGTCAGTAGATCTTGGGTACGAAGCATTCACTGACGAAAAATTCAAAATAATGTAAAATCTCTGTTTCTTGATATCAGCATTTCAAAACTATTCTAACTAATGTCAGTTATCAAATATTACTTATTTCCATGTTCATTTATTAGATTTTCGAAAAACTTATTTTTTAATCCATTTATAAATTCATGTTTTAGATTACACCACAAATCGCTGAATTACCAGATCTATTACAGAATATTTCAGAGTTATTAAATAATCAAACCTTTACATCATGGAATCATAAAAGTCAGACCAGTTTTGAAAGAAACACAAATAGTAATTCACATTCTTCTAGAAGTGCAATACCAAGACATCATAGTCTCTCGAACAATAATCCTATTTCAGGTGTTGATAACAGAAGGCAATCAGAAGCGACTACCATCATAAAACCATCAGTAAGTGATCAGGTGACATTTTATTTTAGCGTGTTAAGAAACAAGATATTTTTTAAGCATATTAAATAATTATTAATATAGGGTGCTGTAAAGAATATGGAAATTGAAGTTTCAAATTAAGAACCGACTTCATCAAATAACTACTGCAAACCAGGAAGCATCGGACAGCCTTTTCGTTTTGATGCGAGAATCCCTAAAAATATCCATCCAGAATCCTACTAGGACTCAAATCCAGGACCTTCAGTTTTCGTAGCAAGTGACTGAAATGCAGACAGTTGAGTTGGCACCCAATGGTCTACATTTCTAACCTCAGTTATCTCGTGGCGTTGCGTGATCATCATTCCTTGCTATTGATGATATTTATCTCACGGCCGACATGGTTGAACTCCACCAGTCGTGCAACATAGAAAACTGACTGAAGTTAGAAATGTAAACCGTTACGTCTCAGCTCAACTGTCTAGAGCCTGATCTACTTCTGCAAGGCTTGAGGGGCCTGAATGCTATCCCCTATTGCATTGTGAATGCACGCTGCTGCGGAATCTCATTCAAAAATGAAACAATTGTTCAGTCCTCATTGGTTTTGACTGGTTATCTAACAAGATCAGTCTTTCATATAAAACTTCGAATTCAATAGTTACTTTATGTTAATCAGTTCAAATGATACGGGAATATACTACACCGTAGGCTGAAATAGCTAAGAATAAAGTACAAGCTGAGTGATTTAAACGTAATTTTACTGTCTTTCAAGGTCATACACTAAACATTATAAATAAACGTATTTTTAATGTATCATTATTTGTCAAAAAGAATTTTAGACAACAGTTAACAAGGAAAGTACTTGAAAATAATTAAGTAATAATGAACATCTTATTATGTAGAAGTCATTGTTAATTAGTTAACTTCACTGTTCCACTCAAGATAACAAACGTTTTAAAGAGTATTTAATATGTATTTAGAAAACTATTATATGATTCTAAATATATCTCTAGACTTAAAATAATACCCAGAACAAAACAATTAATTTGCTTTAACTACTAACAAATAATTCTGCATAGTGAATTATAATACGATATCAAGATATATTTTAGAAGATAAACACCAGAAGACTAACTAATATTATTACATTATACATATCAGCTATAACATTTCTTATGAATGTTTAAAGTTGAAAAACGTTTCATTACTGAAACTCAATTTGTAAGTTGGTAAATTAAAGTCCTACACATTATATTATGGTAAACAGAAATATTGTTCATTTTTCCCTAAAAAGGTCTTTAATAAGATACTTTAAGTATAATGAAAACTTAATACTAGTATCTATATACCGATTGTAATTAATTCATGTTTATTAAATTTATTAATAAGGTGCCTCAAATCAGTTACTGATCTTCAAATATCCATTGATACAAACCACTTACAAAGAATATAAATCTAACAAAGATTAAAACACTATAATATTTTTTTCAATAAGAAGCATCATATACAATTGAATATTTTGAACAATATTCACTAATAAAATAGATTCCACTTATATAAATAAGTTAGATTACTAATTAAGAGTCTTATTCATCAATGTAAGTACTGACCAGGTCCAACATCGCTTAACTGCGGTAATCAAACAACAACCAATGCTTTCAACGTAGTATGATCATCGGCATTAATTAAAAGTGAATATAGGTAATTTACTAGTCCTAGAAGTAAAATTTAATTATAGTTAAATTTCATTTAAAACTCTAATTATAAATTTCTACATGATTAACATCTGATAGAGATTAAATTTTATTCTCATTAGAATCTTCAATACAGTTACTAATTGATTAACATTTTTTTATAATTAACGTATAATAAATAAAAAGAAAAAATACAAGGTATTAAATTAAAATCATTAGTTATGGTTTATCGATAATCTAACTTATCTAATAGATAGATTTAGAATACTTGGTCACATTCAAAGAGATGATAAATATCGATTATTCCAAGAAAGATCCATTGATTAAAACTAATAAGGTCAAATGTTTAAACTTTATAGGAATGATGTACAATATGATAATACTGATTAATTCTACATTAACATTAAATTAAGTTTATTTAAGTTTTTACTACTTACATGCTAAAGAATAAGAAATGAGCTTCAAAAAGTTAATTAAAATCTCATTACTTAAGAAGAAAAAAGACTGAGTATATGATTACATAGAATTCAAACCATACATTGTTTAACCATGCAAAATCTTAAACTTAATGCATGTACTTTTGTTTTCCTTCTTTTTTTATAACATTAATAGTTAACTAAATTACATGTAGATAGAAAACTATCATCGGAAGCACCTATAAATGTAAAACCAATACATAATCAACAAGAACCTAGTAATAATGCTAATTCAAATAGTTCAGCTGACAGTAATGAATTTATTTCAAATATAAAACAAAAAAAATCGTGGGATACATTTATTATACAAAAAGAATATTTACCATGTAAATTTAATTCTGCCGATATGATATTTAAACAAATACATATAAATGATCTTGAACAGTCAGAAAACATGGAGGAGTTATTAAGTCAATATCGTGAACAGTTACGTCAGTTAAATGATTGTATTGAAAAAGTTGGACCGAATTGTTGTCATAATCCAAATTTATCTCATGCTTTAAGTCATTCTACACAATCTGTACATAAGATTAAAAACCCTTCAAATAGAATTCCTAATAATAATGGAAATAATAACCATATAAACAATGGAAGATCTGATAGAAATTTATCAAGACAAAGTACTGATGAGAATAGTTATCGTCAAATGAAACGAAAAATAATAAATTCGAAATCCGATAATTCAACACCTATACCGTTAGATAGTTTGTTGAAAAAAACACAGTGTCCATATCAAAATTCAGACAACAAAACGAATAATAATTCAATAAGTAAAGATGATGATGATGATGATGGAGATGAAGGTGATGATAATTATACCAGTGAGTGTGATATCGGTAGAACATTAGTTCCTACTCATTCTGCATCTATAACTATTGATCGTTCAAGTACAAGCGATAGTGATTATGATTATGACGATTGTGATGATAGAATCACAGAATGTACTACTGAAGATACAAGTGAATACGTAAAGAAAACAACCACAAAAAATAACAAACCAAGAAGAATTTCCGCAAGACAAAATCATTTGTCTGAATCTCCAAGTCTGGATCAATTAGCCGAAAAGTGAGTAAATTAATTATTTTTGTCCCAATTCTAAGAAAAAACTGATGTAAAATACATTTATCGAAAGATTTCAAAATTTTAGGTGAGTTTTCATGTTACTAAGCCTCACCATGAAACAGATTATCTGATCCCAGTGGAACCCATATCATATCCATTAGAAGTGTAGTGAAAAACTCCACTGTTTTGGGAGAAGTTACTTATCATACTGTATGTACATATTATGGATATATTATGCATCGATACATATATTAAGATAATTATGCGGTAATAACCAGACGGATGTTATTATTTGTAGTGCAGGTATCAGAACAAAATATCCAGCGTTCAAATGTGCTTATAGTATGAGAAACAAATAATCTCGGTGATCGATTGATTTCCAAGTATTTTCAGTAACCGTAGGAATCATGTTAAAAAACCTTTAAGTTAACCTATTTACTAGCTTATCCATGCTTTAGTATACATGTATTTGGCATTAAATATTCTGTTCGAAAATTTAGACTGCATGTAAGTCGATAGCTAATATATGTTGCTGTAACAACATTCTTCTAATTGTGATTGAAGAAATTTAATTTTCTTATGATTATAAATATCAATTAATTACTAGATAAGATGATTATAATACCATTATCAGTTGTCCTGACTTTGAGCACACGATAATTGGTCTCGTTTGTAACGCTATAGTGAATGAGAACACCAGTGGGGACAGACAAATGTATTTAAATACAAAATTACAGAATATCTTAGTAAAATTTCAGAATCATACAGTAAATAATTTATTTGCAAAATATCAATCAATTGTCTCAGACTCGATTGTTCCTTCGTCTCTACACCAATCACTATCCGTTCTCGTTCTCTTCTCTTCGATCTTCTTAACCTTCTGCGACCAAACATTCGACTTTCGATTGGTAATACATACTATTTATATCTGTCGACATCAGTGGCACACACCACAATGCTACGTTTAACACTTCCACAACTAACTTCTTAAATGTTCGCAGCTACTTAACATCAAAATTATTTTTATTTTAAAGGGACTATTCCTTTTCCTTCAGACGTAATTTACAATTCAGTATTGTTTAAAACTAAATATGAAATGAACTTTACAAATATAAGAAAATGTTTTAATTCTAATATTTAATATTTTAAAGATTTCAGTTAGAGAATGATTTATGAAAATTTTATTAAATGATTTCACTTTCTATATTGTGAAAAGTGATGAGGTTTCAAATTGTTAACACATTATTTAACATCCTTGTCTCCTCTTACTCTCCATTTCTAGTCTAGTTGGCCTTTTATTTCTATATATAAATGCTTTTAACAAATATATGCGTGATCAGATAATTCGAAATATATTGCGCTAATATATCACATAGTTCTGATAATCTTCATCTTATTTCACTATCGAAATTTATCAAAGGGACTAATTGCTTTAATAAAATGTACTTTCGTACTGTATCGATATTCTTTAAAAAAAATACTTTCTTTTTGTCCTCAAGTATACGCATACATCAACCAGCATGATAATGAAGCTTAAATTACACTTGAAAATACTATGGTAACAGCCATTAAAACAATGAACATCGTAATTATAGATAAAATATTTAGAAATAGTTATTCAATTTAAAGAAATGTCTGTTTAATGAGAAAAATCATCTGATGTACATGCATATAGTTTGAATACTATTAGTTTTAACGTGTAGTTATGGGGCTAATAATTAATTATTGTTTAAGCCAAATAACATTTAAGCTAGAACATATATACGTTGTATTTTTTTGAAAAAAAACTTCACAAAAAATAAAATTTACACATGACATGATTTAAAACTGAAGATTTAATTTCCCTTAACAACAAAAAATATCAGTGGTGTTATATAAGCGAATTAAATCAGATTTGCTATTTTCCCATTACAGTATGGGTTTAGAAGTTACTAAAAATCAACGAGCAATAATTAGCTATCTTTAAATAATTCGCAACTTTTTTAACACTAAATTAGGTAATCAATCAGTATATCAAACAGAATTCAGTGATTTTCTTATAGAACATATCGGTTTAGGGAGACGATCAATTTGTAGTCAGGCTGAATGTTTACCGGTAGCGTTATTCTATGATTGTACTAAGTAGCGAATTGAAAGTTGACAATCGATTTCAACTTAATAACTGATCAGTAGTGAGTACATTTGAAAGCCTAAAAGTTATCACTTAGATTCTGTACTCTATCCAGTATATCATGCAGTGAAATTTGAAAATACAAAAACCAGTTATACAGATCAACATAGTTGTCCATCTACAGTAAAAGTCATCTAATTTGATTTCTTTTACAATCAAACGTTTTAAGGTTATCAATAAAGTCACAAATTAGTCATCTGACCAACTTATACTAATTTTATTTATTTCAAAATTTTAAGACGTATATCATACATAACATTACCTAAATTGTTGAATTACCTACATTTTGAAATGTCATACAATTCAATCTATTTTTTATAAAATCATAGTCTGAACAAATGGTAACGTAATAATTCGACTTTTATAGATACATTATTTTTGTACTATTTGCTGTTTATATTTATCTGTCCATTAATTCTATTTCTTGTCATTTCTGTTGAAATGTTCTTTTTTTTCAAAATAGATTACAAGAATTAAAAAAAATGCTTCAATTAGAACGTCAAGAAATCGAAGAAGTAGTAGCATCTAAAACAGAAGTGATAAAACAACAAGAAAAATCTATTGAACAATTAGAATCGGAACTTGATCAATTACGTAAAGATCATAGACCATTAAAAATGAAACCACCGAATGGTAGACATACAAGTAAATCAACTTCACGTACAGTCAGTCCAACTTCATCACTTTCATCTGAATGTTATTCATCTAATTTATCTGACACAACTCAAAATTGTCACAGTTATAATAATCCTTTTTATCATAACGATATACATAACAATAATAATAATAATAATCACTTTTTTGATTCATCAGTTACAAATTATCACAGTAATAATCAAGGTTTAAATAATCTTAGTCGAGGTGAACCAATCAATACAGAGAATTATCGTACTGAAAATTTTCAAGAAAAAATATTATGGAGAGGACAAATGAGTCGATGTGAACCACAAATTAGATGTGATTCTAACCTACTTTATTTGTCAAGAGCTAGTGAAGGGACAGGAATTCCATTAGGACATTTAATTGGAGCAAATCGTTCAGCTCATATTGGACGTCGTGAATCAGAAACAAAACTTTTGCCACATTAACATTATACTCATAAGTTAACATATATTATTAAAATAGTATATCTTCATAAACTCTTTAGACAATATTAATTATCTTTTAATAGTTTAACAAGAACTGCCCACACATAGACTCATAAATGAACTATTAATATATGAACATTTTCATTAAATGCTAGACTATGTGTAAGCTGCGACACTGTGAATACATTACTATATATATATATATATATAATACTCGTGTAAACACCCAAAATCCCAGTGACTTATTTAAACGAAAAGCAATAAACTATATATATATATATATATATATATATATATATATATATATATATATATATATATATATATATATATATATATATCCATAGATATATTATCAAACACTAACAAGAAACTAAGCAGTTCGCATTTTTGTCAACTGCTTTTCTTTCTTTTTTTAGTCTTACTAATTGTAACAGACTGAAAAATGTAAAATCCATACACAGATGAAGAAAGAAAAAAATTTAAAAAAAGAAAATTAAAATATGATAAAGAGTTATGTGTTTCTGTTTTGTTTTAAATTTCATTCTATCATTTTTCTTACTCCTTTTGTATCAATTTTTAATTCTTGTCTTATTATTAATATTATATACTTCCCTTTATTATTCTTCTCAATGGCATTCAACGATAGTAGTTTTTTTCATATTAAATATGTTCAATCAGTAGAACCAGGCAAAACTGAATGTACATACATTTATGGTTAGATATATCAATATATATATATATATATATATATATATATATATATATATATATATATATATATATATATATATATATATATATATATATATATTCCAGGTTATCAATACAAATGTCTCATTTTAATAATGTATAAGAAAAATTGAAAGATTTTTGAGAATTATAATATTACCTAAATGACTTTTTTTATTCTCAAATTGTATTTGTATTTAACACTGAAGAACTAGGAATACTAATAATTGATTTATGAGCATATTCTATTTGAATGGAGATTTACTGAAATTGTAAACAAAACTAAATGATTATGATAAATTAGTAATAATTCATTATGACTTTAAGCAGAATGTTGAAACATTCCTACATGAACAACTAAAACAATGGAATTTCAAGATCAATACTACACGAAAAAGACGATTATTTTAGATATAGCCCTTAGACGGAATTATATTCATGGCCATTTATAATGGAGTCATCCTGTTCATACCAGTTTCGTTGTTGGCAAATTTGATGGAATATAGTGGATCACCTTAAAAGTTTTATACAATTCAACTTGACCTGTGTCAACCAAGTGAGCAAGAATAGAACTCTTAGTCACTTATCTGTCCTTTGCTCAACCACGACGGATGGTCATTATATAACAGAGCACCATCCGTCGTGGTTGAGCAAAGGATAGATAAGTGACTAAGAGCTCTATTCTCGCTCACTTGGTTGACACAGGTCATCAAGTTGAACTGAATAAAGCTTTTAAGGTGATCTACCATATTCCATCAAATTTGCCACATGGTTTACGAGTGCGTCTTTTGCACATTGCTGAAGCCATCGCAATCCAAGTTCACAAACCTAACCTTTGCATCCCAAAGAAGTTTGTGCAATCATTTTCGTTACTTTAGCCATCAGTATAGGGGCGTTTACAGCAGAACATTGATAAACGATTTTTTACTTCTTCCGTTTTTGTTTTTTGAACTTTTTATTTCACTTATTCTCAACATTGATCTCTATATTCATTAATCATACATTTCCTAAAGACAAAATTGTCACATAAACCTATTTGAAAACTGGACGTATTCTAAATCATATTCATCTTTTTTTCTCAACTACTATCCCATAATATATTTAAAAGCGTCACTATTTTAATGAAACATATCACTATCGTCTTGCTTACTGCTTTTAGGCCACAATAAAAATAAAGTAGAAAATAGAACATTCAACTATTTCTTTATAGTTTTAATACTAGTCTGAATCATGAAAATCCCCAATTAAAGTAAAATCCACATACATGCACACAAATCTAATGAATGTTGATAAAAGTTGAGTTCTAATATTGATTTCATACTTATGTATTTGTCAGCTTCTAGTACTTTCTTACCATGAACACATACATGCGAAGTACTGAAAAGTTGGTTAAATCGATTACCGTTGACCTGAAGATATACTTATTTTGCTGCATATTTGTAATTCTAAGGTTTATAGATAGATTATTAGACAAAAACATGCACGTTTTTGAGGTAAATAAGAGGATTAAGTTGTAATAACTTGCTAAAGTAATATTGTCATTGTCAAATAATTCACATTATTTTCCTAATCATTTTTTTTTGTCAAATGAAAATCATGAAGTCATCTATTGATGCCATAGAACAAATCATGCTTTGAATAAAGTATCCAGAGATTAAATGAAATATTTGATTGTAGCAGCAACAATAAAATATGATGCCTAAAAACTGAAACATGGAATTATTAGTTGTGTCCTAACTTATGCTAATAGAATAGGTGTATCCTAATAAGCTATTAGTTATTTTTTAAATTAATTTCACTCTTATTCAATTATGTACTGATTTGGTGATAACCTTTTATAGTTTTCTAAGATTATGGCGAAAACAATGTTTTGATCTAATCATATTCTTGAAAACGTAGAATTGTATTTTCTTTCCAGCGTAACCGGTGACAGCTAACTAATTAAACATCGTTGAAAACTATTTCATGGTTGAAGCCAGAAAGGAAACTCTTATCACCATCTAATTTAATGACCTACTGAATAACCTATATATGTCACATCAAGTATACGTGAGTAGGAATAAAACAAAACCAATCAATTATACTATTTAGCTTTAAATTTTCATACTTCAAAGTCATTCTGCGCAAACCGTCAACTTGCTGCAGATTTTAGTACTGGAAGATAGTGGGAAGCAACTCAGTGGATTTTAGCATTTCCACTGAAATAGTTTAGCTTAAATAGATTTTTCAAGCTATGAGTGTATAGATAATTTGTGAATAAATAATATTAGTTGGATAAAGCTAGAGAAAAATGTAACGTTAATAGTTATACAAGGTGATATGTTAAAGAAGTGCTTTATTCATTCAAATGACGTTGATATACGATATTGATTTCTCTTCCCAAGCGCTTATATGTAATTAGATTATAGGAAATAATCATATCAGTATAGCTGTTGGCCATAGACGACTACTGTTTATCTAATCGATTATCGATGAATCATTGTCAAGTACCACTTAGTTCACTGCATACAAATCTGACCATTAACCAGTGAACTATATTGTATTCAGATATCACTTCAACTTATTTTGGGTGTCAATTAGGTCCACATTCACTGTCTTCATGTTATTTGCATCAGCCGATTCACCATTTCCAGAAGATAGTACCAAGCCAGTTAAATATTTCGCAGACATAACAAATAATCACATAGAAAATTAAACCTTTCAAACTATTAACCAGTGATTACATACACTAAGACAAGAATTTGTAACTACAAGTTATCTAAAATTAATGTTTGTTTTCTCAACGTAACTATCATTACAATATTCAAGTTTCATTTATAATAAATTGACAAATAAATAGCACAAAACTCCCAAATAAACTTCATTTGAATAGAAGTAAACGTTTAAGAATATAAATATTTAGACCCTGTTAATTATAACCACTTTTTATTTTAAAATTAATTTACCCCGTAACTATGATGAAACAAATTAAATGAACAGTAAACAACAAATAATAATTATTTGTTAAAATCATAAATAAATATGAGCAGCAACTTAGAAAAACAAACAAATTAAATACAACTACTGTATGGCACATAAACAACAACACAAAAATGTAAAAGAAATTAAAATTACATAAAGAAATGTAAAGTGATAATTGTAATTACATGGATATGTGCATGAATGAAAACAAAGAATATAATTGTGATGTTAAAAGTGTAAAACAAAATCATATATTTTAGTTTCTATGAATATAAAACAAAACAATCATAGTCACATTTCAAGAAAACTATAAATAAATTCAGTCAGGTAAATTTAATTCAAGCATTAACAGTATTAAACATTTTGCTAATTACTCTCGTTTTTTTGCTAACTTAGATAACATGTACAGAACAAAGTAGAATACAGCAAGATTTAAGACAATGCTAAAAAAAATAACTGGTCGAATGATCAAAATAACAGAAGTAATAACATTTATAGAGGTAGAAATAATAATGAAAAAGATATTCATCGTAGGCGAGACACGGAATGGTCAATATGTATAACTGCTTGTTTTTTTTCCTGCCTACATAGGAACTTAAACTTGTGCTGTTAGTTTAAAGATGCACAAATTAAGAGCTGTTTCAATATCGTATGCAACAGGGATATTTAATTCTTGAGCTAAATCAATTAAATACATACGTACACGATTATAATCTTTAATAGCTTGTTGTGAAAGTGATTTCATAGAAATATTATCATGTAGATGTGAATTGATAGATTTATTGTTATCCCTTAAACAATTAAAATTATTGGTAGAATGTTGAACAGAATGATGTGAATCAATTACAATGCCATATTCCAAAGAATTAGATTTAATTGATAATTGTTCATTGGAAAGAGAATTTGTTCCAGTGAAATCACTTGAAACATCACTGTTATTAGTACACTTTTTCATGTTAATATTAATAAAATTATTAATCTAAAATAGAAAATACATGAAAATCTTTTTATTGACAAAAATGGAACTTACAGAAAATTGTTGTACTTTACAGTCATTGTATATAAATTGTTGAATTGAATTAGGTTCATATTTCTCATGAGAAATATTACAACTACTAACATGTGTTTCATTAGAAGAATTAAACATTTGTATGAAAAGAACTACAGGTAAATGACATCCTATAGAATAGGCTGCCTGAAAAATAAAACAAAACAAAAAAAAGCATTAATATAAGTTGAAGGGAAGTTCACAAAACCCAGTAAATAAGTAGAAAATCAAGATCAAGTGTATATATGAAGTGTAGAAATATTAAACGACTGAACCAAACTAAATTTGATAGAGTAGAAAGCGAATTTCGAATTACAGTGCTTAGAATACCTAGTCAAATAATATGGAAGTGAACACATGTATACAGCATACCATCCTCATAAAATCTAATGTGAAACTAACCACCTAAGTATTATGTCATCGCTCTTAATATAATGATTAACCTGAAGATTACAGAAGTATTATCAGATTATCTGTCATGTTACGCAACCCGTACAAATGATGGCAGAATTATTCTTAACGTTAAACAGTCTAAAGGTGTGAAAAATATTGTGTACGAAGCTATTCCCTTTATTCACTGATCTCTAGATGATTTTAGTTGATATGATGAAAAGAAAAGTCAAGATTCGATTGAGTTACTCAATGAGTTTTATTCAACATTACTTCTGTTTTGATTCAATGTAATGATTACTCAATGTAGTATTTATTTTATTTTCTCGTATGATATTTTATTCTGTATAATATACGATATTCTTGTATTCAATTGACATGAACTATGTTCTATATGTGATTTGTGATAACTGAGTATTTTTCATAAATGTGATTTCATTCTAATTATTAATCAAAATGGGTATACAATCAATTTACAAATGAGTGTATTTTTGACTAAGGTCGTCGTCGTCATCATAGTGTTTTGGGGCTAATCAATCTTCACATATACCAGTCTTGTGTTCCTACTTTCGCGTCGTGGGAATTAGGGAGGTCCCTTCGTTCCGAGTATAAGTGATCAGCGATTCTGACATAACAATCAGCGACGACCAGATACAAAAAGTAGCATTCCATTCACAAGTTATAACAACTGGAGACGAGGATTTGAGATATAATACTAGCATTATATGGACTTGTGGTATTACTACATTAGGTATAATCTTATCAAAGAAACATTAATATGCACAAACAAGTTAAAGAGCAGATTTGTAATGAAACGTGGAGCTTCACAAACATTAGGAGGTGAATCAATGATTTAAGCTTCTGATCCAGCGATTAAAATTCATCTCCCTAGACGGTCATGTTACAATTTAATTTTGATTATATCATCCAAAAACATAATTATGCTTCCGGATAACTACCAACTGTGAATATTTAGTGCACACCCGATAGTTAATAGTATTCAAAGTTTATGTAAAATTAGTCGCAACAGCATGATAAGAAAACACAATCGATATTATGACAGGATGAGTTAGACAAACGGACTATAAAAATGCACTAGCAGTTCTGGCTGAAAATATTTGTCATGTACATTAAGTTATCATTTATTTTGATGTATGATACTGACTGAAGAAAGTTCAAGTTTAAAAAAAGGATTAACGCAGACCGGGAAATCGTACAACTAAATAGCAATCAACTGTTATTGACCAGAGCCATCTACTTAGATGTTGCCAATCGGCAACAGTGATCCAATACACTTACGTTTATTCTTTCCGAAATCTTAAACATCTTACGAACTGCTATTTTATTTCCTTTTCATCAACACATTTTCAATTTTAATAATTCCCAATTTTGTGAATTTTCTCTTTTAATATTGTGATGAGGTGGAAACCCTGAATCTATGTGCAATGATTTGACGTAAATATATCTATCCCTCTACCTTAATACTCATAGTGCCACAAACATAGATATCCATTCGAAAGGATGACCTTAAAGAGGCACACATTAATAAACATGAGCACTTAAAAGTGTAATAAAGGCTTTTAGTGGCCCTGTATCTGACTTTCGTTAAATCGCATGCTGATTGTTATCGAAACACACATACCGCCAACCCTCGTATATTTTCATCGACTTAATTTGCGTTAGAGAATAACCAAGTAAGATAAATACAAGAATAAATTTTGAATACCAAAGTTGTCCAACAAATTCTTATTCTTTTGGAAATCCAGCACACAAAAATGCCTCTTAAGAAACTATTCCGCTGCTGTTCGAAATAGACGTACGAAATAACATGAGTGGAGAAGCAAGAATAACAAACTGTCAGTAAGTTCAAAAATCATAGTATTTGTTGGAAGTAGGCCCTTTATTAGACGTTCAGAAAACTACGTTTTTGATCGATCTTAGAGGAAAAGGAACAAAGGGTAAATTGAACAGATTTCACACTTAAAGCTTTTATTGCACTTTTAAATGCTCATGTTTATTAATATGCGCCTTTTTGAAGGTTGTTCTTTATCATGTCCGCTGTTCTACTCGTGCCCTTATAGGTGTGAACCACATGTACCACATTATCACAAATATGATATGACACTTCTACGTACAAATCGTAGATTTTTTTATTACTATTCATTACACTATGTCCAGAACTTCAATAAAATCATCTGATGACAAGTAGACATCTAAATTTAATTTTTTTTTAAATACAAATCATAAATATACAATGACCAACAAAATTCTTACCTCCATTAGAGTAATTAAATGAAAAGAACTATTATCAATTATATACAATAAACTTCGACAATTTTTACGGATTTCTAACTGTTTAGTTTCTAAATCTTCACAAAATTTTGACAAATTCTTATTACCATCAAATGATTCATGAAAATTATTTTGTACAGCTTGATAATATGATAAATTTGAATGAATTAATTTAGGTAAAATAATATTATCTAGTAAACATTGACTGAATTTATTTTCATTCAATATTCCAGCAATATAAATATCAAATATTACATTTTTAGAAGGTTGAATGTTGCTCAAATTCATATAATTATTTGATTTTGGTAACGGTAATGATGAATAACGAGATATAGATAGTGTTTGAACATTGGAATTAATCGAAACATAATTTGAATTGCTAAGAAAGCAGGGGTTGAGCTATATTAATAAAGAAGAATCACAAGTTTAAAACACTCGAAAAAAAGCATAAATAAACAGTAACGTGACAAAAAAAACTAGGTAAGATCAAGCAATCTGTTATACTTAATGCAGAATCTGGCACATGTTTGTGTATTGGATAAAGTGGTTCTTTTCGGAAAAAAAAATTATCTTTTGCATGATATTAGCCAGTTAGTAATTTTACGCCAAATACTAACTGTTCCTAATCAGCTCTAATTTTAAGCACAACACCTGTAATTAGAATTAATGCAGTTGATATTGAATAGAAATCAAAAACATTTTACTATATATATATATATATATATATATATATATATATATATATATATATATATTTATCGCGTTTATTAGATTCCGTGTTGGCCAATTTGTGCCATTTGATATAAACCAGAGAATTTGCGTTTATTTACCTTATAACACCTTACTGAGGAGATTTTTAGTACCAAATTATTACATTTACCGGCCTATCAATTAAATGACTAGACTATCTTCATATACGTAATTCACACTAAATAAACCTGCTTCGGTTTGGGCACCCGGGCAGTATCACAGCCCTCACACACCAAATGAGATCTGTGTGGCGCATATGTATTTGGTGCCTCCTTATACCAATATCTGTGTTAAAAATAAAATAATAATAAAATAACACTAAATACGTATACTATATAGATAGAGCCTGTTAGTAAATAAAATGGATGAAAATTTAAGAAGGCTGAGAGATTGATATCTCAGGTAAGATATGTGTGAATATTATGTTATACTGTAGTGTGTCCTACTGATGTCGACAGATATAATTGGTATGTATCATCAATAGAAAGAGAAATGCTTGGAGGTAGAAGTTTAAGAAGATCGAAGAAACGAGAACAACAACAGAGAATGATTGGTGTGGAAATGAAGGAACAGAAAAGTTTGAGATAATTGGTTGACATTTTACAAATGAAGTATTTGCTGTATGTAGGTATCATTGCAAAGGTTTGACTTGATAATTTCGAATAAATTGAGCATTGGGTAGATTGCTATATTCAGAAAATCTAATTTTTCTACTCATTAGAATATTACAAATATATTATTTTATTTATATTTACTGTATAGTTCTCAGATTTTAATAAGATATTCTGTAATTTTGTGCTTAAATACATTTGGTTATCCCCGCTTGTGTTCTCGTTCACTACAATACCTTCTGTCTGATACAACACCTAAAACAAAATAAATCATACGGATGCAATTCGAAATATACTAGCAAATGTGTTTCAGTATAATTAAAACTGGTTATACCTGTGATGAAGAATCAAGTGGTTGTTTGCTTAGTGGAGATTCCATTAATTCAGAACACGACTGAGTTCCTTCAGATAAATTCACCAATTGTTCGCCTACAAGGCATTCACATTTATCCCAATTACTCAGCAGTTTAATGGAAAGATATTTTTTTAAGATAACCAATAATGATGGAGAACTTTGTTTCAGTATGTGCTCAGCATACAATGAAGATAATAAGTCAAAACGACTAACCTTATCCCAATAAGTAATAAAACTCCTATCATTGGTTAGATCAACATTTAATGACTTGAATCCTTGATGAACCTTTGAGGATATAATAAAACATAAGAATAATGAGGGAACAAAATCGATATCCTATTAAATTAGCAATAAATGCAGTAAATAACCAACAAAGTATGATACTTGTCGATCACAAGAAACATGTTTAGCTTAGAATGTCAAACAAGTTCAAATTAACATAGTTTTAAACTGAATACGATGGCAAATATCAAATATATACCGCTAGTCGTATCCTACACATAAATGAAGACAATTTTGACAATTAAAATTTATACATTCCAACAACTGTCAACGTTCGTAAAAAAATATAACTGTTTTATAAAAAAATATAGTATTATACATGTAATAAGATAATAATTCACGTTGAAAATCTGAAAATCTTTCCATTGATTTATGAATTACATCCTTCTTTAGTTTTCTTCCGATGTACTCCAGTCAAAATCGCGCATCAAGGTAGGCGGTGGTTGGGTATAAGTACAAACTACACGTCTCAGTTATTTCAGTCGATGGGGATTCATGATCTTATCAGCCGATTTGTTATATTTGCTGAATGCTCTGAATCTAACCGCGAAATTGCTTGCCCGGTTGTCGCCTCAAATGCGATCAACGCTTTGACTACACATGTGAATAAATACTTGAAGCTTATATATGTCTCCTACTTTCATAGACCGTGTTTAACAGACATAAAATAATATAGAACGAACTATTGTGCAGTATATTCCCGGCTTTGTTGGCAGACAGACATTTCATCTAATAAGCAAGTGATGGAAATTGCTAAAACCCAACCAAGCTTTCTGAATTCGCGCCGAGATTTTTTCAGCTACAAACCCACCATGACTGATGAAACTATCAATCCAAGTGAAGTGGTCAGAGTGCTCAACTACTTTACTTCCTACGGTCGATTGAAATATAATTACGAACAAGGATATTAGTGATCCAACCAACAGAAAAATCATTTTAAATTAAAAATGGGATGTTTGCTGGTTCAGTTATGCTTGGAGCAGAATAGAGAAAAAAACCTGATAGCTAAAACATAAAAGGTAACACGAGTAGATGAAAAGAAGAGATACGAACTAGAAAAATCTTCAGTAAATTTCTTCATAATAGTTTCTTTCCAATATTTTAATAGCATTAGCACAGCTTATTAGGTGACTTCCCGCAATAACAATCAGATAAAAGACTATTACTCTTATAAATAATGATAAACTATATAACATTGATGAAATCAACTAAGTAAATTAAACGTAAAAAGCTGGTAAAACAAACAATAATTGAGACTATTGACAGCTAAACTAACTTGCTCATACACGATCTGATTATCAGCTGACTTGGGAGTTTGCCGGATTATTTCGTGAAATACGTTAGATACAAATCTGAAATAAAAACAGCGGTTAAAAAGGAACTTTGGAAATTCATTAACATGATTTATTTATTATAAAACACTGTGTTACGACAGAAAATTAAAAATTATGTCAAATATTCAATGAATGATTATAACAACTGAAATTCATCATCTGATATGTCAGAAGTGTACAAACTAACTAGTTTCTGTTCTGAGAAAAAAACATTAAACATTAACAATAACTTCCACAAAGCTTTATTCGATTACTATTTAGAATTATGCATTCGTGATATCGGGTTTTGAGAAATGACATGCATCGTTGAGAGTGGTAAATAGATTATTTAGTTATAGGAGAGGAAAGTGATGATATTATAAAGTACCACTGAGATCCGTTCAGTATTTAACATCTCAGTCACAGCTTGACCAATAAAGTGCATGAACGGCAATCCAGTGGTCATCATTTAGAACTTCGTCACAAGTTTGCTTTCAACTTTAATTATTACTCTTGTACATTAAAGTTAGTTAGACAAACCACAGCATTATTTTAGTACGAAATATTTCTTTTATGTCTGTAAGAAATTCTGTCCAGTTTGAGTGAACAGTTTTACAATATTTGAGGGCAACATGTGTGGACATTTAAAAAATAAATAATATCTACTAGAATCTCAGGTATTTAAATTAGAAAACTTTAATGTCTTTCTTAATTCATACGTGTTTTAGAATATTTGATCTTTGGCTATAGACCAGAATGACTAATTTGATCGTAAATGTAGGCGTAGAGTCAAATATAGTCATTAGTTGTCAAATAGGAATTGCAAGCACATACATTTTACATGACACAATTTGGACACATTTCCCCATAAAATTACTCTCATTCACACAATAAGCAATATCTCAACACGACTGAATAACTGTATGGTAAATAGTTGTTTTATTACCTCATTTCTATGTGGTAATTTTGATTTCTGACTATTGTCTTGATGATTGGAGCAGACTTAAGAGTTAAGTGAAGTTAATCGCTGAGATTTTTAAAAATGTTAGTTTTTTTATGTGTCTGTAGATTAATTGTTTTACTAGGGAATATAAAACAAAACGAACTCACAGTATTTTATTCATTAATTCCTTGTCCTTATTTGTTATAGTTTCTGCAAATTTAAGCCTCTCGAAAAAAATAACACAAAAAACAAGGTGAATATTAAATTACAACCAACCAGTCAATAATTTAGTTTTTTGGGAAAAAATACATGTCAGTTTCAGTAATATTTTCAGACATATCAACAATTCATTATACTGTATTGTTCAATAACCTTCTGTAGACTATATGCAATAAAATATATGTTCTCACTAGGAAACCCACAAAACAGAACGAATCCTTAAACTGCACAAAATCCAGTATGTGGCTAAAGATTGCCTTTTGTACCTCCTAGCAACGTACCAGCTGGAATTAGTGCACTATGGTGACATAGTCAACTTTAGTGATTCAGACAATTAACACCCTTTTTCACAGTCCACATGTAGAGACAGTACTATTAACCAACATAAACGATTCGATGAGACGATCAATTGATGAAACACTGGAATGAATGCTAACAGAATGATTACTTCACTGATTGTTAAAAAAAATAACTAACTGACAAAACCGGATCACAAATTCACAACATACAGGTACCAAATAAAACCACTGGGTTGTTGAATAAGTAAATCATCTCTATGCAAAATGTTTTATTAAGATAGCGTGACTATGAGTTATGTAATATATAACACATAACTATGTTTATCAAAGATATGCAATTCGTTATTTTTATGCACCTTTATCAAAGATATTCATCTGAAGGCAGTGTCTTTTTCCAAAGCCTCACGAATTAGTCAGTCAATCATTCAGTTATTACGAACATAGGACCTGGCAAAAATATCTATTGGTTCAAATTATCATAAGACACCGTGAATCGAAATAAAAGGAGCAAGGATGATAGTAAGACCAAATTTAGAGAGTATGGTTCGAAGAGAATAAGTGAAATAGGAGATTGCAAAATATATTATAGAGTATAAAGTAACATTAGAACTCAACATTCAGAGGAAAATAGCGAATGAATTTTACCGAATGCAAGCCATTTCAACTCCGGTCTTCTAAACACTTAGCATGACGTTGCACCGTATTATTGTGTATTGTCTATTTCAATAGTTGAAATCATGAATCAATTGAAGCTAGACCACCATGGAAAACCTGGAAGCACTGGACGGCCGTTTCGTCCTAGTATGGGACTCCTCAGCAGTGCGCATTCACGATCCCGCCCCCCGCGGGATTCGAACCCAGGATCGTGGGTGCGCACTGCTGAGGAGTCCCATACTAGGACGAAACGGCCGTCCAGTGCTTCCAGGTTTTCCATGGTGGTCTAGCTTCAATTGATTCATGATTTCAACTATTAAAATTACCAATTCTCTACAAAACCCATTCTAGTTATTGTCTATTTCACAACTTTCTATTCATTTATTTTAACAATCCAAAACACATTTAACTGAATTTAATCTACATGCACCAGATCACTCGAACATGTCACACAACAAAAAGCTCAAGAAAACCTCTGACGATCTTAGTAACAGAACAGAAACAATCTGAGTGTTCATATAGTTCAAGATCAAATTATGGTAAAAAGAAAATGTGCATACTGAAGAGGAGGAATGGGGTGAAATAAAACGTTTATTTACTCTTTTCAATCAGATAGTAGTATAGGCGTATATTAAATGTTGTGATAATAGTGCAGTTGCGATCCGTTTGTGGGACAGTTTTCATAAAAACTGAAGATTGCTTGAAGTAAATGGAAGGCACCACTATTTCACTAACGTTGCCACAGAAGAAACTTAAATCATTTCATGCAGGAGGTGATATGATGGTAAAGAATAAGACCTAATTTTCAGGTCGTAAATCATTGAAGGTTGAATGATCTACAAAACCGATATCCCTTAATTGATCTTAGCATCTAATCGCGTTTATTTTGTTGTTATTAATTTATGAGTAAGTATGTTATTAGGTAGGAAAACCTATTATAGTGGTGTTATTAACAGTTTGAATCAATAAACCAAACTCGTGAGCAATCAGCACATCATCGTATCATTGCACTTTATCTATAGATTAGTATTGTATCCACTTACTTAACAATCCAGAAACATTCCTGATTACAAATCACATAATTATTTTCCATAACAATTCAATATGGAAACTTCTAAAAATTCAATGGGTGTATACTGTAAAGTGACAGACATGATTAATGAGAGAGTTCATTAATTTGATATCAAAAAATGTTCCAATCAAGGAAATTAATAAAGCAACTTACTAAATGACTATTATGTACTGCATAATTTACAGCAGTTTTGACTTCTGAAAAACATGGTATCTTGAGACGCTTAATCATTTGAATAAAACAATTCATAGCCTCTTCTAAGAAGTGATATTCCCTAAAAAAATGAAGACAAATCTAGCGAAGTATAAACACAGTTAACTGAGAGAAGAAAGAATCTGGTTTCAGCCTTTTATAAACCATTTTCACAATTTTATAGACTTAAAAACATCGTCACTTATAACAAAAGATTGATATACGCAAATCAGTAAAAACGATACCGTTAACTTGTTAAAATTATTCAATCTCTGAACAAAAGACCGTCATAAGGCTGTAAAACATCAGAGGTTCATATCCTAATCAAGGATATATTACAAAGTGCCCAGTGTTTAATCTACCTAAAAACATTATATCACCGTTTTAAGTCTTAAAATTAAGCCTGACAAGAAATAGGATAGAAGCTACATTTGGACGTTGGATAGAAATTTTGCAAGAATAGTTGCTGGTATTTAGAGACCATACAACCGTAACATGATAAACCTCAAAATTCAAAGATGATTTTATTGTTAAAGATTTGAAGGACTTCGGTTAGTGTTGAACCCCATAAAAAACTGACATGGAGTCGAAACTCTCGATTTTTTAAAATCACAAATATGTAATGTATACGGTAGATTGATGCAAGAACTCTTACACGAATAACATAGAAGAGCCACCACAACACATTATATTATGAACGACACATTCAAAATAAGCTATATGTTTGTTTTTGTTGTGTAATTTACCACACACACTTCACGGACTCTACCACACGAGGACGGTGACCTACACTACGGAAATTTGCTAACTGAATAGAAAATTTATAAATATAAGTTACCAGTTAACGACATCCTATTTTATATTTCTCTACATCGATACTGTAAAAACATGCGGCGTTTAAATTTATTAAGTGAATGTATTCTTATTCAAATTGATCTTTTGCCTAAGTAATTTACCACTACCATATGACTGTCCTATCTGTTACTTCGTAAAATTATCTCGTTTAGCATAGCACATTTCCTGTTATTTATCTGCACTAAATGTCTCTCCCATAAAAACAAACAAAATTTAGAAATCTACAGAAGCAGATGATAATAATATTCGGGGAAATTTTTTAATGGTCGAACTACTCCATTAGCGATAAATGAGTTATATACTTCAAATTAACCTATCATCTTACTGCATTCAACCATATGGAAGAAATGTCCTCCAAATATGCACTTTTACGATTTTTTATATACAACAGGTTAAATATGGCTAGTAGTGGAATCCAGATCAGTCAGTCAGTCAGCTGCAACGTAGGACCAGGCACATATATGTATCGGTCTAAGTTGCCATACCGCATTAGGACAACAAGATGGACACTGGATTCATAGGAGTGGTTAATTCAGTGGTGGTAATATATAGAAGAAAGATTGCATATAAGGAGATAGTACAGAAGGAAAGAATTAGTTCGTAGAAAGAGATATGAAGTGATTTTAATCTCTTAGTTTAAAATAAGACAGAGAGTGTATACACCGACGCCATTGTGATCGATTCTGAGCCATGTCACCAAGAGTCTCCAACCATTGGTTACGATAGTCACGCGGACCCCGACCAAGTAGTCTGCTCCCAAATGCCCTGGTACGGCCGAGAGTGGGGTGGGTTCGCCCTCCCTCTCGAAATACTCTCGCACGGCCACGCGTATATAGCCTCTGCCAGGGAAGTCCTACTCACTGCCTTCTCGTGGCGGGGGTGTTGTTTACGAAAATGAGAGGACGAAAAGCGAATGTCCGGCGCTATAACCGGATCCCAAATCAATGGTGCACATGGTCACCAGTATCCTGCGGGGACAAACGGCGTATGAACCAATTTTTTGATCACCGGCTTCCATGGGACTGCATCTCCTTACGATGCTCCACTGCCTTGTGGGTCAGACGTTCAGGTCGAAGGCTCGGGGTGTAGCCCCTAAGAAAACCACCTGCTTCGGTCTGGGAACCCGAGAAGTATCACAGCCCACACAAATATAATGAAAATGATGATGTTCTCTGAAAACTCTATTCACGCCGCGATTTACCGTCAGATAATTCACATTATTATTATTATTGTTGTTATTACTAATATTATTTACCACGTCATTTATTCACTCTTTTATTTCCACTCTGTCTATCCTTATTTTTCGACTTATATAGCAGCTCGCCTATGGTGGACATTCGGCTCTATTTAAACGTTCTCGTGTCACTGCCTGGTTGAAAATTGTATGTTACCATCGAATAAGAGTACTGAAGCAGTTTTTCTGAAACCACGCGAACCATTCAAACTGGCTGCCTTTAACGTTCACACACTTATGCAGGTCGGACAACAGATAGGGCTGGCTATGTCTTTGGAAAGTCTTTATATTGACGTGTGTTGTCTATCCGAGACCCGTATTGAACACTGGTGAAGTACTACAAATTCGCTCTCCATCTGTCACTTCAGAAAGCTTGTTTTACGTGTGTTTATCCGGGGACCCTGTGGCATCGTCGTCTGGTCTTACTGGGGTTGGTGTCGTACTAAGCGCTAGAGCTGAGGCAGCACTAATCAACTGGATCCCCATTAACAGTCGGTTATGTGCTGTCAGATTAGAAAGTACCATCAAAGTAAGAAGAAATCGGCGTGAGAAACGATGTCCTTTCGTCGTCTCCTCCTATGCCCCGACAAATTGCAGCCCGGATGCAATCAAGGATGAATTGTACCACCAGTTAACTGTTCTTCTCCAGAAAGTGCGTTCGACAGATATTGTAGTACTAGCTGGAGACTTGAATGCTCAGGTCGGGCATCTAGGTACAGAAGAGAGTCGTTTAGGTGGCCGATGGGGACTTGATGGTCGCAGAACAGATAACGGGGAACGTCTACTGCAAATACGCACAGACCACAACCTGTTTCTGGTTAGCACTAACTTTCGGCACAGTCATCGCCGATGTGCCACCCGGCGTCCTCCTTCTGCACCTCAAGCCTGGACTCAGATTGGTCACATCGCGATCAGCTACCGCCGGCGTGGTTGTGTACAAGACTGCCGCTCCTTTTGGAGTACCTATCTGGAATCTGATCATGCCCTGGTCTGCGCCAATCTTACCTTACTTTTCAGTGGACAACGAAGTGACCGCCACCAAAGGATTGACGTCAGCAAGCTGGTTGCAACTTCTGTTGCTAGTATGTACCGAACCGAGCTAGCTTCTAGGCTAGCTACCATTCCACCGAAAAGTATAGATGAGCATTGGTTGCAATTGCATGACGCCATGAAAATGGCGGGTCAAGTCTGTTGTGGGTTCGCGAAACGTCCCGTTTATAAGCACTGGGTTTCTTCTGGTTCCTTACAATTCATTGAAGCCCGTCGGTCTACTCCGGGTGACCGTGAGTTTGACCAGAAACGAAGGATGTTATGTAATGAAATCGGGATAAGCTTGCGTAAGGACTGAGAAGCCTGGTGGTCGGAGCGTGCTAACGAGCTGGAAGCAGCAGCTGCATCTGGTAATTACCGGAAGCTCTTCCAACTCATCCGAGCCACTGGCAGCAAGAAGTCTGGTGTGATCGAAACAATCTGCGAGGATGACGGAACGCCAATCACTAACATCCGTCGACGTCTTGGACTATGGGCAGAATTTTTCGAAGGGCAGTTCAACTGGCCTGCAGCTCCGGCAACATCGATCAGACTGTCCTGCCATCCATGGCCGGTGACGACTGATCCACCAAATGAGGCGGAAGTCCGCAAAGAACTCCAACTCTTGAAGCGCTACAAATTACCGGGCCAAGATGACGTACCTCCGGCTTTTTTTAAAGATGGTGGTGACTTTCTGACTAAGGGACTGACGACGTTGTTTGCAAAGGTCTGGGAACCAGAGAGTGTACCAACGTCATGGAATGAGTCGATAGTTGTCCCTATCTTTAAAAAGGGTTCACGTCGTTCCTGTAACAACTATCGGCGCATAAGTCTACTTCCGATTGCGTCCAAGCTATTGGCTTCCGTTATACTTCGTAGGTTTTTCAAAACTCCAGAAGGATTGACTCACGAGGAGCAGGCTGGGTTTCGTTATGGTCGAGGATCATATCTTCACCCTCCGCCAAGTGTTAGAACACCGCCATACTTATCAAAGGCCAACAATAGTAGTGTTTCTTGACATCAGGGCTGCCTTCGATTCGTTGGATAGGACTGTTTTCTGGGATTGTCTATTGAACAAGGGTGTGCCTGAGAAGTTCATTAACATCCTAAAAGCCCTGTACACAAACACCTCAGGCATAGTGAGGGCATACAACAACCTTTCTCCATTATTACATTCAAGCAGTGGGGTTAGGCAGGGTTGCCAATTCTCACCATTCCTCTTCAACTTTGCCATCGATGACATTCTGGAAACAGCTCTGACGGATGTAAGTAATGGTGGTGTGGATCTGTTGCCTGGAGAAAGACTTCCCGAACTTGAATATGCGGATGATATTGTCTTACTGTGCAAGAATGCTCAAGCCATGCAATCCGCACTTAATCAGTTGGCAATCAGTGTCCGTAGGTATGGTATGTGCTTTGCACCTTCGAAGTGCAAAGCACTTCTACAAGACTGGCAGGATTCTAATCCTGTACTCACTCTGGATGGTGAGCAGATAGAAGTAGTCGAGAAGTTCGTGTATCTGGGTAGCTGCATAAGTGCTGGTGGTGGTGTGAGTGATGAGATCAATGCACGTATAGTGAAAGCCAGAGCGGCTTATGCCAATCTGGGCCATCTTTGGCGCCTTCGTGATGTTAGTCTGGCTGTAAAAGGTCGGATCTACAACGCGTCGATGAGAGCAGTTTTGCTCTATGCTTGTGAAACCTGGCCTCTCCGAGTTGAGGATGTTAGACGACTCTCTGTGTTCGATCATCGTTGTCTCCGAAGAATTGCTGGCATCCAGTTGCAACACCATGTTAGTAGTGCAGAGGTTCGGCATCGTGTGTTCGGGCACAGAGACGATAATTCCATTGGTGTCACCATCTTGAAACCGACTTCGGTGGCTTGGACATGTTCTACGAATGTCGTCCAAGAGAATTCCACGTCGTGCACTATTTGCCGACTTTGGGACAGGTTGGAAAAAGCGGAGAGGTGGTCAGTATATGACATAGTGTCGTGGTATGAAAGAAAGCTGCAAAGGGCTGGCTTCTGTTGGTCCTTCACGACTCCCTGGCTGGGGTCCGAGAAATGGTGTAACACAGTGGCTAGAGACGTTATCAGATATGGCTCAGAATAGAAGCCAGTGGCGATCCTGCTGTAACCTTATAATTTCTTCGTAAAGAGTGGTTGCTTCTTCCTTGACTGTAAGATTTCCTCTGATTGTACCTTTTCGTTTCCCTCATTTTTGTTCTTTCTTTCTTTTTTTTATAATTCCCTACGTTCCTTACATTTTTTTTCCTTCTCTTTAAATTCTCATTGTTTTGTGTGGCGCATATATATTTGGTGCCCCCTTGTACCAATATTTATGTGTTCAAATAAAATAAATAAAATAAACATCTACCAACATGGCTCAGATCAGAAGTTAGTAACTTCAAGCACTGATGCCACGTTTAGGTTTGACCGCCCCTAACTTTCTTCCAACAGTCTCTAACACTAATCAGCATTGCGCGTCGTGGTAATCGGTGTTCAGGCATACGCAATACGTGGCCCAACCATCTCAGTCGATGAAGATTCATAACATCATCAACTGATTGAACAACATTCCCTAATACCCTACATCTAACCTCACTATTACTTACCTGGTGATCCCAGCATTTTCGAGCAATATTTCTAAGGCATCTGTGGTCAAATACTAGTAACATACGAGTATCTTCTACTCTTAAAGGCCATGTTTCGCAGCCGTATAGTAGAACGGAACGAACTGCCGCGCAGTATACTCGTCCCTTAACTGATAGACGGATATCTCGCCTTCGCCATAAGTGACGTGAGTTGGCAAAAGCCAAACGAGCTTTTCGAATCCGTGCTGAGATTTCGTCAGACACCAACCCATTAGGGCTGATCAGACTTCCAAGATAAGTGAAGTTGTCAACGCGTTCGATTACTACACTCCCTATCCTTAGTTCAGGTGTTGACGAAGACCAGTCCTGAAGCAACAACTTGCATTTAGAGAGAGAGAAGCGCATCCCAAACATTCTGGCATTGTTGCTCAGTGCTACCAAAAGACTCTACATTTCACCAGCGTCTTCACCAAACAGGACTATGTCATCTGCGTATTCTAAGTCAATAAGTGGACCTTCTGGTAGGAGATCAATGCCCGAAAATTCAGTCGATGAGAGCGTTATTTCCATCATTAGATTTATGATGAAGTTAAACAAAAGTGGAGAAAGTGGACAGCCTTGACGGACACCACTTGAGGTTGCAAAAGCAGATGACAGTTCGCCATAAGCTCTGACTCGACTAGTAGTGTTCGAGTAAAGAGCCTTCATAAGGTTTATGTACTTCTGAGGTACATCTTTCAATGACAGACTGCCACAGAACCTCTCGGTCTACAGAGTCAAATGCTACTTTGAGGTCAAGGAAGACCACCATTTTCGGACGCCGATAAGTATGCCTGTGTTCTAGAACCAGACGAATGGTGAATATGTGGTCGATGCAGCCACGACCAGGTCTAAAGCCAGCTTGATTCTCTCGTGTTTGCAGTTCACGAGTCTTAGTTAGGCGTCCGATAATTATCGTGGCTAGTATTTTAGATAATATATTAGTTAAACTAATACCTTTATGGTTGTCACAGGATGATTTTGACCTTTATATATTGGGACGATAAGTGATTGTGACCAGTCAGAGGGGATTATTTCCCCCCCACCCAGATTTTAGCTAAAATATTAGTCAACCTAGTCGCTAGAATTGGACCACCATCCTTAAAGACCTCTGGAACCAATCCATCTGGACCTGTTGACCTTCCTCGTTTTAGATTAACTATAGCCTTTTGAACTTCAGCTAGAGTTGGAGGACCTACTTCAATGTTCCATTCACACTGTCTGGGGATAGAGGGTAGTTGTAGAGTAGCTGAAGGCCAGCTGAACTGCTCCTTAAAGTGTTCCGACCATCGTTCTAAACGTCTGGACTGGGAGCAGATAAGAACGTCGTCTTTTTCCGAGATAGTCTTACATCTGACTTTTTAGTTCCAATTTCTTTTATGAGTCTGAAGAGCTGTCTGGTGTTACCTATAGCCGCTGCCTTTTCCATCTCTTTTCCTTTCGTTGCCCACCACTGCTTACGATCATTCCTTAGACTTTTGGTTAACCTAGATCTGATTTGTTTCCGTTCTTCATCGTGTTCAGATCTTGATGGGATGAGTTTACGCGAATCCATCAGTGCAATAGACATTGAAGGAATCCATTGGTTCTTTGTAACCCTGTGATTTAAATCAATAATAGATGTCACTGATGTTTCCACAGCCTCGTTTTTAGAACCACCTAAGTGTGACCTCAGTTGTTCTTGGAACCTACGTTTGGTTTTCTCGTTACTCAGTTCAGTTCTAATGGGTCTTTTTAATGTGGCTTTTTTGCGTTCAGTGAGGCGCAAGCAAATGCGTGCTCGTATTAGGGCATGGTCGGAGTCCAAACCGGTACTCCAGAATGAGCGACAATCTTTTATCGACCCTCTCCAACGATGACTGATAGTAATATGGTCTATTTGAGTCTATCGTTGGTTCGGTGCAGGGGGTCGCCATGTTAGGCGATGTCTCTCCTTATGCTTAAAATTTGTGTTTGCTAAAAATAAACGATTGTCTGAGCACAGCTGCAGCAGATGATCACCCTTATCTGTTCGCTGTGCTGGAATACTAAAATACCCACCTAAATGTCTTTCTGTTTCGTTTAAGCTACCTACTTGGGCATTAAAGTCACCTGCGACGAGTACTATGCCTGAACGTTTAACTTTCTGAAGAAGTTCAGAGAGTTTTCTGTAAAATTCATCTTTCACTTCATCCGAACTGCAGTCAGTGGGAGCGTAGGTAGAAACGACGAAAAGGCAACGACGTGTGTTCCTATCCTTCTGAGTTCTCATGGAACCATCTAGCCGAACAGCGCATAGACGACTGTTAACGGGGATCCATTCCAATAGCGATTGTTCCTCCCTCATGCCTAATGTTATGCCTACACCTGCCAGTCCACGAGAGCTAGCCATCGGGTCGCCAGATACACGGAGGGTGTATATCGTCGGCTCTCCGTTTTGTCGAGGTGAGGTCAAGTTAATGACCACACTAGGATCCTGTATGCGTGTTTCGAAGACACAGCATACATCAATTGTACGAGATTCTAGGGTTTTAGCCAAGGAGGCCTGTTGACCGATTTGACATAGTGTGCGTACGTTGGTCCTTCACGACTCCCTGGCTGGGGTCCGAGAGACGGTGTAATACAGTGGCTAGAGACGTTATCAGATATGGCTCAGAATAGAAGCCAATGGCGATCCTGCTGTAACCTTCTTTTACTTTCTTCATAAAAAGTGGTTGTATCTTCCTTAACTGAAAGATTTCTTCTGATTGTACCTTTCCGTTTTCCCCATCATTGTTCTCTCTCTTTTTTTTTTATAATTCCCCACGTTCATTACTTTTTTTTTCTCCTTCTATTCAAATTATCATTGTTTTGTGTGGCGCATATATATTTGGTGCCCCCCTGTACCATTATTTATGTGTTCAAATAAATAAATAAAAATCCTTGTGGGAAGGCAGCATCGCTGTCATGCTGGTTGTCTGAAGGAAACACCTTACTGCTGTCACACCTTAGTGGAATCCAGGACGGGCATTTGTCCTATTTAGAACTCGCCAGATGGATGTACCTGCATCTCGAATTTGATGTTCACTTTAGGAGTCGAAATTCATACACCCAGTTGATGAGCCCCAAACAGGATGAAACGCGAGTCCTGAACTATAGCGCTAGCCATATTCCATCTATTCTATACAAACTTGTGTCAAAATGGCTATATCGAGCCAATCCGAATAGGATGTACATATCACAACTAAGATTGAACAAATCTCAGTCAAAATATCAACAACGTGATTACCAAAACCATAAAAAACTGGATTGAGGTTACTCTCTTATTTGGAAGATTAATTTCAGTGTGACAAAGCATCAAAAAAATAAACTACAAAATCTAAATGATATTATTGCACAAAAATACTAAAGAAAAGGGTCGTACAATCAATGAATAAATTAATAAGAATAATATTTGATAAGAGATACAGTTCAGTTAACATTTACACCGCTAAATCTTCTTGTATCGCCCAAAGGTTATAAGAGTTTACACTTCCTCTCTACGTTTCTTTATGGTCACACGTTTATAGCATCTAATATGTAAGTTCTACAAAGTCCCTTTATGTGATGTACATTAATACAAGTAAGAACACGAAAAGCAAACGTCTGGGGTCTACCTAGGGTTGGAAAACCTCAATTCCAAATGTATGGAGCCCAAGGAGCCTGAAGAAAAGGATGGCATTTTAACCTATTTTAGTCACCAGTCACAATAGGACTGGATATCTTGATGTTGTTTCACTGCCTTATGGATTAGGTCTAAGGTTTGTGTAGTGGTATGGGTATCATAAAGTGTTTTATTCAGTTCAAAATGCATTACGTGAACGAGATAATAGTTATAGAACTAAACTTGGGTGTTTTTTCATAAAATACATACACTATAGTAAACACCTTAACTAATATCGTATATTAGTTACTATCATGAGAAAATAAGTATTCAACTTACAATTTGGAAATATTTTCACCAGCTGCTGAAGGAAGATCGGTGCATTCGACTTTAGATATGCATAAAACTAGTGGCTTCTTTTGAGAAGCAAGGTATGTCGCTTCCAAAAGACTGACCAATCCTCTTGTTCTCCAGTTCTCAAAAACAAACAATAGTATGTCCGACACTGATTTTGCCTTCCTTTCCAGTTCCATGAGTTCAGGTGACCAGTCATCTACCTGCTACACTTTGTAAATAAGAAGTACAGTTGAAAGCTAATTACATATTTGATGGCATCAGTTAAGTGATGACATCAACTTGATATAAAGTTTAAATCAAAACTACATTTATTAGATCAAATCTGTCGTAATTCCATATTGAGACATAACAGCGGTAAGATATCCTCCATAGATAGCCAGAAGCTTAAGGAATGTCATTTTCATAAGAAAGTGAGTGGATAGAAAACGTTACCCTTAAAGTTTGCGTACCCATTCGTGGCCACAGGTTTACAGTGCAGATGGTAACATATAGAATTAATCTATTGAAGTGCTGGGTTCAAGCAGTAGTTCATTGGGGTCTATGGTTTTTCTACCTATTTGTTTTCTCTGAGGTTCCTCAAGAACCCGCATCATACCTCTATCAGCGCGCGAGATCATTTTATTGAAGATCAGGTCACTATGACCACCTCTAACCCAATTTCCTTTTCAGGTACCTCCAGCAGAACCCTTCCACGGTGTGGGCAACTGGGAAGTGATAACCGTCCTCATACCTCTAACAGCACTCAAGACCACTGTATTCATGGTCTAGGAAGAGGTATAAAGACTTTAAAATCAATCAAATCATCCACAGTCTAAACACACAAACTGAAGTTTATGCCGATGAACAACATCATTAATTCTCACAATAAATAATACGAAGTCCGACATATGGGCCTATATTAAGTTACCGAGATACACCTTTATGAAAGAAAGACAATTTAGAACCTCTGGCCATGTTTAGTGACGTTAGTTCATTGGCAATTGTATATCGAATTCAGGTCCACCTAAAACATGTCATTTCCCTACTTTTTGTAGATTTACAGGTGAGACTATAAACTATGGACGAATCAATGATTAAGGATAACAAGTCTCAGACTTTGGCCCAGAATTCACTCATGTATACAGCTAAATAGTATTTTGATATTATAGATATCAATTTTTTGGTGAAAATTCTAACTAGTTTCTAGCCCTGCATAACTCCAAATCCTAATACTAACTAATCGCATTATTTCACAAACCTTTTTCGGTCCTATTAAGTAGATAAATACTCTTGATGTCAACTTAAAACTACTCAAATATCGTCCATAAATTCTAGTCTCACTGATTCAAAATATTCGAATATAACACAGAACCACTTAACGTTATGCTAGTGGAATAATAGCCCAACTTTTTGATACCCTCGAAGAAATACAAAACTTTTGATGTTGCAAAATAACCTGGAAGTTTTCGTGAAGTATGTGGCCTATTATAAGAACCCTAGTCCGATTCATTCCAATAAATTTGTACCCAGCTGTTAATGAAAGTAATACAACTTCAAATTTTATATGCACTACGGTAGTGAAGACGACGACCCACCCAAAAAAATGTTATGAACTCCAACTAACCGGATTATAATATGTGAGGCCAAGACGGTCGAGAATCGGAATAGCCACTTCTTTCCTCCAAGTAGTGGGATTACAAGCTCCTCCAAGAAAAACTTCACGTATAAGAAAACATCAAACTTACAGTCGTATCTACTTGGTCCGGAGCTCGCCTCGAAAGAAGTCACGACTGTAGAATCCAGTGCACAAGCTGCATACAAAATGACATCTGAGTAACGAATCTGGTTGGTGGGATTACGCAGAATTCTAGGGATCATCAACATCTCTAAAAATAAAAATAAGTGGCATGGCAAGAGTAACGCACGTAGTTCAACTGGTAGTGGTAAACCTAACATCTGCAGGATATTTCTTGCATCATTGGCACAACAAATTGTCGATAACTGTAAAATGTCTGCTGACAGCATCATGAAAGATTGCGTACCAAGTATAAAAATACTCGTGGTACTTTTAATTGTTAAGTTTCCTGCTTAAACAACTAACACGACACTAAAGTCTTGTTGAGCAACTCAGCCGGAATCACATTGTGATGAGAACACTGGTCACAAGGTCACATTTGTCTAAGCGCAAATCTGAAGGACAGGCAATAGAGCATGAACATCATTCATTAAAAAATCTCGTTTGCTCTGGTAATAAGTAACAGTATCTCAACGAGTTTTTCGATCTTGATAGTTTTGGTGTGTGGTTGTAGAATATCCTCAGAATAGATAGTTCTGTAAGTATTTGACATTGAAGCTGAGCTCATTAGATTTCCTAGACACACCTAGCTGAAAACGTAAGGTCAGGAATCCACATCAGATTACAAGTGGGTACGTCGTGTTACGCATCTTTTGCAACTACTAGCCTGCTTATACCAGATGCTTCCCTGTATATCGACAGCTTCCCAAACCTTTATTCCAATTTCCTCATTTCTGAATTCTAGTTTGACTGAGTTAGTGTACATCGTTTATAAAAGTGTTACGTGTAAAGACACTACCGAATTCCGAATATCTGTGGCATTTTGAGCTATAAAGATGTGTTTATTCAGATCGTACAACATAACGCGAAGTTATCAATTTCAAACACAATTTTCAATCTTCAATGTAAAAAATTAGGATATTTAATAACTACACAAAATAAGGAATTAAATGTGTAATTGAGCTGTAATCCTTAGTATTGCTGAGATGTCGGCCAACTCCCAACTGCTCAACTTTGTTACATCATAACAATCCTAATGAATTTCAGACCTTTGTCCACCTTAGACGATTGTTCGTACATAATCGCTTCAAAAACACAAGCTCCGCTTGGCATCTATATTGGAAGCAGTTAAATTATTTTGTACTGGGAATCTACTACACTTTTTTTCTGGTAGTTGCTAGTAAATAGAATGTTACAAATTCAGCTGGCTCAGGAAGCAATTTAAGCATGTCAATGTAGGGTTGCGGAGATTGTTTAGTTTTGATTGACACCATAAATCGATAAATGTTAGATCACCATTGAAAACCTGGAGGCACTGGACGGCCATTTCGTTCTAGTATGAGACTTACAACGGTGCACATCCACGATCCCGTACACGGGACTTGAAAGCAGGACCTTCGGTTTCGCGAGCGGGCACAACCTGCAGATCACTGAGCCGGCATTCAACGCTGTTAGTGTGTGACTTTAAAGAAACGGCCGTCCTGCGCCCCATGGTTTTCAATGATGGTCTAACACTGACCGATTCATGATCTCAAATAATCATACCAGTTTTAAGAATTGTAATTTTTTTCTACTTTATGACCAAGAGTATATGAAACTGATTCTATTATACATGCTCAGCTAAGCTACGCGCCATGTACGAAACAGGACAATAAAGATACCTGTAGTGTCTCCAAAGTGAATTCTGAGTTTTTTGAAGCATTTAGGAAGTTTTAAAGCAGCACTTGTGGAAAACATAGTGTCCTGTCTCACGCTTTTATCAAAACTGGGGAGTAATCCGTCGATGAACAACACGACTGAAGCTCAACGTATATAAAATAGCAGGCTTTGAACTCACGCCAAGTATTGTGAGAGCTGTAAAAATTCATTAAAACCTTCCAAAAATGATCATAATGGAAGACCTACTAATTTATTCACTAATAGTGGACCAGATATTCTTATCGTGCTTGCTAAAATGTTCAATCATTATTTTTGTCCTTTGAGAATGGAAAACCAAGTACATTACCCCTCATTTGAAAAAAGGAGTTAATCTGGACGCAAACAACTATCGCTCGATTAGTCACAATTCCATCTTGCCAAGAACCATATAAAAATTATTACGACAATGTGAGATTATTTAGATGAGCACCAATTTACCATATTTCTGGCACATTGATTCATTTCTAAGGAGCCACTCGTAATCTATCATCTAGGGTGCGTTGATGATATAACAAACAATATGTTTGAAGGGAAACTAGCAGCCACCATGTACTTTAACTTTACTAAAGCGCTTGATGAAGTACATCATTCGTCTCTACTATTTAAATGCAAGTCATCCTATATAAGAGGTAAAATATATAACCGAACTTCATTCTTCCTAAGGGACTAAACTCAGGTATTTCAAACAGAAAAACACATCTTCCGCTTTTAGGACATTACCAGTGATATTTTCGACGACACTGTCGTCGGATTTTGATTGTTCATCGTGTATGTTAATGGCATATCAAATCGCCTTACACCTGGCAAAACATTTGTATTTGCTAACAACAAAAAATTGACATGTGCACTCCGCCAATGTCTCCGTCTGTGCATAAGCCATATAGTACAGAAAGATCTGGTTTGATGCATGATTCCTCTCCCTTAATACCGCAATATTTGAGCACATGAAGTCTAGCACATCTAACCTATAGATAAGCTCGAATCTGAACAATTTGGAATTTAGACAACTAAGTTGCATCTGCAACTTAGGAGTGAACTATTGCAACCCTTACTAGAATATTGCTCGATCATATTCAGTTTGATGCCTTTCCTAGACTTACAGAAAATGAAGAAGGCATAACGCATTTTATAGCACACCTTACTCCTTATCTACCTTGAAAGATAGATTTGAAGCAAGGAAACTGGATACTTTATGGTTAGGATGGATTAAACTTAGCCCTGTCTTACGTGTCGAAACCTTATTAAGATGCCACAGGTATTCAGATTTTGACAGCGCTTTAACCAGTAATACCTAATATGAAGCGTACCCACCAAGTGAAATCAAAAGGCAGAAGCTTGGAGATCGAAGATAAGCTATCAATATATCGAGGATCGTTTGAACTGATCTGGCTAGCGATTGTGACAGATGTTGAGCTGAAGCACCATACAGACGTAAATAGATTTACGAGAAAACCACCTATTTTAAGTCAGTTCAGTGTAAAACTCAAACGTGGTCAGCGGAAATACACAATCGTTCTGGAGTTGTGCATTGTTAGAGCTCACTTCCCGCTAGCGTGGCAGCATTGTCACTTGTGATGTGGTTTAGGAAAATGTAAAAACCCAACGAGCATATCGTTGGTAAACACTAGTTTGATATCTTACTATGTTCAGCAGTGTCCTGTAGTCTTTCCTTACCATAAAGAACATGTGGCACAATATATTACTGAGAAACATGTGCAATGAAATATTCGATTTATTGTAAAGCTCATTGCTCTTCTATCTTTTCCAGCCGTCTTGGAAAAAAACACACGTAAGTACATGTCAAATTACACTCGTACGTTCCTAGACATAAAACAGGCAAAATGACAAAAACAAATTCATATACCCTCGTTTCACAAACATGAAGTAGCGTATAAACGATTTTGCAGAATGACTTTTTGCTTTTTTCTGAAAAAACAAAAATAGAATATGCACATATAAATAAGCATATAAGTATATATTTATATCAGGATATTAAAAATTGGTTTGGTTTTTGACACAATACAAAAAATTCAAGACGAAACAAAGTTTTATGTAATGTCATACGTACAGTAATCACTTTGACGTTCTGGAAACATCACTCTTCTTCCAGAATTCGTTAATTTGAGTCGGTTGTCAGATGCCGCAGACGTGTGACTATTGATTATCGGGTGAGGTTCATAGTTGTAAGGCTTTTGTAGTTCGATTGTGTCGGATCAAAATCAACATGGTTTTGGAATGCTAAATATGCTGCTAAATGATGATCAATCCGGACAACACCGTTATTTCCGTTTCTATCGACGTCATGGCATTTAAGTTTATGATGAACAACTTCAAAGGGCCCTTCGTATTCCTTTCCGAGAGGTCGTATTATTGATTTGCGACGTTCAAAAACGTGTGTACTATGTTGTAGGGTAGCCTGAACGAAAATATTAGCGGATGGAGACAAGTTTAACTAAACACACTGCGTTTGTAAGCCTGTTCGTTTAGGGGTTTGGATCCACATCCATAGAAAAAGATTTTTAAAAATCTAGAATTCTTCTGGAAGTTGAAGTCCCGTTCCAAAAACGAGTTTTGCTGTCGTACTTCCAACGTTAGCTTCGTTGCGTTACTCTACTGTGCACAGTTTGTCGCTAAGAGTGAAGGTTTAAGCTGTCGGTAAAAATTTCTATCAACTCGTTTGCTCATGTGTGTTAGGTGCCTGTTCGAAGTCGTGTGATTCTCAATAGTGTAGTTAGACAACGGAAAAGTCTAAATTTGAACTGGCGTCCACGGTCTGTAGTGATAGATGAAGAACAGTCAAAGTTTACTAACCATCGTTCGACGAAGACGAGAGCCAATGTTTCGGCAGTAAAGTCCATCTTCTGGCCATCGATTGAAACAGTCTACACAAGTCAAGAGACAAGAGTATCCATTTGAATCTGGTAAACGTCCTACCAAATGCAGATGAACATTGTCGAAATGGGCATCAGGAGTTTTGAATGAGTCTAAAGGACATTTAATGCGTCTAATTGCCTTAGATTTATGGCAGCTTACACAGAGGCGTGCCCACTTTGTCACATCTTTATTTATACCAAGTCGGTAAAATCGTTCTACTATGAGCTTGACGGTTGTACGAATACCTGGATGAGAACGTTTGTGCAACGTAATGAAGACATTCAGTCAGTAATATTTCGGGAAGATTGGACGATCCCAATCTGTAAATGTGTCACATGGTAAGGTTACCTTACCTGATCCCATTTGTTTAATACGCAGTTTCAGGGTTGTCAAAGACAACTGATGCTGAGGATCAATGTCTTCTTTCTGAATTTGTGAGAGTTTAAGAGGTTCAATTCTTATGAAACTGTTCAAGGAATTTACACAAGAAAAAGCATCTGAAACTATATTGTTTGACCCAGAAATGTGTTATGTATCTGAAATGCACTACGAAATGTAATCCTGTTGTCGAGAATGTCGAGGGTAGTACTTATTTGTCAAAGGTTCATAATGGACGTGCAATTTGGTGTGAACCAAACTTACCAGACTGTTAAACGCACAT